CTTGTAGGTGCTGTCCTCTGTCTGGGCTGTAAATCAGCATGTCGTTGAGGTACGCGATGATGCACTTATCTAAAAGCGGTAAGAAGGATTCGCTCATCGTCATTTGAAAAGTGGCGGGGGCGTTTGTCAGTCCGAAGGGCATAATGGTGTATTCGAAGGATCCGTAGCGTATTCGGAAGGCTGTTTTGGAGCAGTCGGGTGGGTTGACTCGGATCTGGTGGTAGCCTCCTCGAAGGTCGATTTTCGAGAAAACACAGGGTGTTCGCAGTTGGTCGATCAGTTCGTCGGCTCGCGGGATGGGGTAATGGGATTTAATGATAACCCTGTTTAGGGCGCGGTAGTCGATGCACATGCGAAAACCCCCGTCCTTTGTTCGGTGTGAACAGTATCGGTGCTGCAAAGGGTGACGAACTCGGGCGAATAAACTCCTTGAGCAGATAATCCAGCTGCTTCCTCAGTTCATCCGGTTCGGGCTGGGTCAATCGGAACTGTCGCTGTACTGTCAGCTGTGCCCTCGATTCTAGCTCTATCTTGTGGTCGTGCGGTTGCTGAGGTGGCAGTCCCGTCGGTAGGTCGTCCGGGAAAATGTCACTGTACTGCTTCAGTATTGCTGCCAGATCATCCGGTACGTCGGCTAGCAATTTTTGTAAATCCCCCCCTTTGTCTGCTGCCTCGGCTTCCCGAATGTCAACCGCGTACACGTCAGCTCCTGCCGCTACGCACCGACGAAGACTCAGGCGAGCCCAAGTGAGGTAAGGCGATGTTGTTACCGTTCACTCGCACGGTGCAGTCACCCGTGGTCCAGCCGATTTGCGGATTGTGTCATCGCAACCAATCACGACCGAGCAAAATGTCAGTTCCGCGAGGGTTTCGGGAGCATTTCCTGACTGAACGTAAAGTTACCCCTACATCGAATCCGAACCCGGTCTACGCGTTCTCGTATCGCCAGTGGTGTGCCGTCAACCAGTCTTGCGTCAATCTCAGGCAAACATCTGTGCAATGACAGTCTAAGTTTTCGTGCTGTGGCGGTGTTGATCAGGTTGTGGCTGGCTCCCCCGTCTACGGATATTTTAACTAAGTCCATCCCGACTTTCCCCTTAAGCAGTATAAGGCTGTCTACCATAGTACCCTCCTTATTCGGCCGGGTGTGGTCGATTGCGTGAACCAGCACAATCGCTCGGTGAGGGTCGGTTGGGTCCAGCGAGCGGCGTGACCTGTCAGTAGAGGGCCCGTTTGCTACTGACTCCCAGCGTTTCCCTGCTATTTGGTCTGTTTCTGCTGCTCTGCTTCCCCCTTTCCCTTAGTGTTTTCCGGGCATTCGCTCTTACGGTATCCTGGCCGATTGCATGCTAAGCAGCGCCATTTGAACGGTGCGGCAGCGGCATTCGCGGCGACGGCACGTATCGTAGTGCCCTCGCTCGTCCCACGAGATCGATGTCCCCAGTTACTACTTCCGTAGGATCCCGGTCTCGGCCGGCGGAAAAAGTCGACCTTCTCCGCCATGGCGAGAATCTCCTGAAAATCAGTGACGTCGCAGAGCTGAATCTATTGGGCGATGTCGTGCTTCAGGCCGCCGATGTAGCGGTCGATACGCTCGCCCTCGTGCATGGATCCCACTTGCTCGCACAACGCCAGAAACCTGCTAGTTTTGTTTAGGACGGAACTGAGTTTGCGCCAACTGCGGAGCTTCTGACGCGCCGCGATCGAAGCCGAAATCGGCTCAAATCGAGCGCGCAGACCTGCACACCACGCGTCCCACGTACGATATGGGGGCACCATCACGAAATATGACGGCACCCAGGGTCCGGTTTGTCCTTCCCGTGCCGGTAGAGTCGCGTAGCCGTTTGGCTTCGTGAAGATGACACGCCACCAGTCCATGGCGGGTCCTCGCAGCAACGACACGGCGTAGCGAATTTTTGCCGTTTCCTCCGAGACGTAGTTGGCGTCGAAAAACACGTTCACCGTGAACAACCACGCCTGAACGATAGGACCACCCCGTTGACTCGGGTCAAAACATGGCGGACGGTGCGGCTTCAGCGGCATCGGTGACGGCAGTGCCGAATCGTTGATAGGTGCCGAAATCGTGCGGCGCGGCTGGCTTCGGGCCGCATTCGTCGCCTCGGGGTGTGTCGCGCCGTTGTCGTCGTCTCCGTCGTGGCGGACGACGCCATTACTGGCCGCGCTCGCGGGTTGCCCCACACTTCCCTGTTGTGATGCATGCAGTGCGGGCTGTTCCGTAGTGCCAGGTGCTTGTGATTGCGCTTGCTGTGCTCGTGCGACGTCATTTTGCAGGGACGTGCATTCTGCCGTCAGCGCCGCGATTTCCTCAGAGCTTTCACGAAGTTGCTTCAGCAGTTCGTTAAGACGCTCCTGCGTGAGGATGGTGACGTCGATGTGCTCGGCCATTGCGAAGGGCGTCGGCTCAGCTTAGTCTAGGCGCGGTCGTGGCTGCATGCGTTTACGAGAGAACGCGAGGACAACGGCTCCTAGAAACTAAGGTGCGTGAGTCCCTTCGAGTGAAAAATCAAAAGTTCCTTTTCTGGGGTGCGGAGATGCGCGGTCTGAAAGAAAGTAGCTCTGAATACCGTACCAAGTGTTATGGGTGCAATTAATCGAGGTAGCGAGGATTGCACTAAGGTGTCAAACGAGTACAAAATGTGAGCGAAGGCATGAGCGAACATTTATACGCGAAACATGCAAACGGTAACGCGGTGCGTGCGAGCTAGCAAGTGCTATGCTGGCATCGAGGTTCGGGCTAGTCCCGAAGCGTAGGCCGACACGGCCGGACCAACGGTGCATGGTTTGGTGAAACAGTGCACGCAAAGTTGGCGAAGCCCCGTTAGCCGTAAAGGACGAACAACGATTGCTGCTGTATGCCGTGTTGCCGGTCTCAGTAAGGAATGTCGAGAAAATTTATTGCAGTAACCCAAGTGTACAACTTCTGTAGAGAAAATACTAACAGAAGGTTGATAAAAGCACAGAGAGATCTTTCAGGTGGCCTAGCATTCAGAGTATAATAGTATTATTACATATGAAATACATTTCATGCATCTTAGACCACTAGGAAAGGAAAAACACAATGTTAGCACCAAGGCGGGAATACACTGCATGTTGCAATGCAGTCATGCCCAAAACTTGCAACAAATACCTCATGCCAACTTAGCTCCTAAATATCATTCAATACTACTGCTGCTTCAAAATCCATGCTAGAGTGTCAACCGCAATAGTCACCATAACCAAACCACCTTACGCCATGCATTGCCCACATACAACTTACATGCATTACGTAGAACCTCAAAGCACACGCACTTGCCTGCCATGCATACATACCACACAGGCACGCACATTCACCATATAGCCATACACAGCACATAGGTAACTTCACAATCTTTTTTCATTGCAGCAGTTACACCCTGCAGTAACACACTCCATGCTCCACCATTCCTCTCTCGCACGCCAACAGTCCATCAGGGGTCTACACCAGCCTGCTTCTCAATTCCTGTGCTGCTGCTCTGCTCCCACTGCTGTTGCTGTTCCTGCTGCTGTTACTATTCCTACTGCCGCCGCTGCTTTTCCTGGGTTTCTATAGCTGCTGTGACGTTCCAGCCACTTCAAGAACATGACATCCAAATACCCCCCAGCAAAAGCTCGACCCTCGAGTGCACGTCATAAGAGTGAATTTTTTAGACGTCTCAAATACTCGGATGCAATAGCGCTCGCACACAGCCCAATTCGCCTCTCCCAATCCTTTCTGCTGCCACCCTCCCACCTCCTCCTGCTGCGACCCTTAACCTCCTCTGCGCTTCTCCTCCTCCTCTGCATGCCCCTGTTCTTCTCTCCTTTCCTGGACTCACCAACCCTCGTCCAAAAAACTCGGGAGTCGACTTAATAGTCACCTCGTCTCTCTCTGCCTGACTCACTCCCCCCTGGACTCACCATGCCTCGTCCAGACGAACCTCTACTCTGATACTCCCCCCCCCCCTCCTCCTCCCCCTCCCCCTCCTCCTCCTCCTCCTCCTCCCCCTCCCCCCCCCCCCTCCGCCTCCCCCACTACTACTGCTTCCCCTCGGCGTCCCCCTTTGCCTCGGGCTCTCTCCCTCTACCCCCCCTCCGCTCCCCCTGCTACCGGCCCTCCCAGGGCTTTCACGATACCCTCTCCCTCCTTTCTCCCCCCTCTGCTGCCCCCCCTGATGCTGCCGCCCCCTCTCCTCCCCCTCTCGCTCCCTTCCTCGCTCTCTCTCCCTCTCCCCTCTTGACCGATGCTGCTGCTGATGCTGGTGAACACTCCCCCCGGAACCCCCCTGTCGGTGCTTGTGCTGCTGCTGCTGTTGAGGCGATGCGCGGGGGGACTGCAGGTTGCGCACGCGGGGCGAGCGAGACCCCTTCTTCTCGTGAAGGGGCGTCGTGCCTGGCGTGTATCTGCCAGGCGTGCTGCAGTAGAATAATTTAAGGGGATGGAGGGAGGGGAGGGATGGGGGGTTGAAAGGAAAGTGAGGGAGGCGGGAATAACAGGCGAGTTCACAACAATTCTCCTGAAGGGGCGTGGAGATTGGCGTGTATCTCCCTGGCGTGCTGCAGAGAACCTTGAATGGGGGATGGAGGTGTGTTTTTTGAGAAGTCTCAAAAGACAATTCTCATGAAGGGGCGTGGAGCCTGGCGAGTATCTCCCAGGGGTGCTGCAGAGAACAATGAAGCGGGATGGAGGTGTGGGTTGGGTAGGGGAACGAAAGAAAGGGGAGGGAAAGGGAAGTGAGAGGGGCGAGAGATAACAGGCGAATTAACAACTCCCCTGGCTTGAACCTCGCTAGAAAGCCTTACCAAAGTGTGGGTTGTTGATGGGGTAAGGCCGCGATGACAGGTAGTTGAGCGCAGTAACCACATCATGGATCATGGGGCGTCTATTGAGGCGCCTCAGAAGTTATCATGAGGCGCTGGCTGGCCTGCTCCTGCTACGAGCATAATCCCCCAAAAGCAACAGGGAAACCCCTGGGGTCGAGGCCTTACCTGGGTTGCGGGTTGTTATTTGGGTCGTAGGGCTGTGACGACAGGTAGTTGAGAGCGGTAACCACATCGTGGATCATGGGGCGCTGGCTGGCCTGCTCCTGCAGGCACATGGCAGCAACTGCCAGCGCCTGGTACAGCCCACGCATGGGGTAGCGGCCCTGCAGCAGGGGGTCCGCCATGGCTGGGAACTTCCTCCTGTCCTTGAAGAGCGGCCGCGCCTGTGGGGGGGAGGGGGGAGGGCGGAAGGGGGATGGGGGGCGGAGGGGGGGTCGGGGGGTGGAAGTGGGAAGGTGGGAGGTGGAAGGGTTGGGAGTGGGGGGGATGGTTTTATGAGCGCTGTCAGTGACCACATCATATATCATGGGGCGTTGGTGGGTCGCTGGCTGGCCTGCTCCTGCAGGCACATGGCAGCGACGGCCAGCGCCTGGTACAGCCCACGCATGGGGTAGCGGCCCTGCAGCAGGGGGTCCGCCATGGCTGGAAACTTCCTCCTGTCCTTGAATAGAGGTCGCGCCTGTGTGAGTGGGGGAAGGGGTCGTTGGGGAGGACGATAGATAGAGAAAGAGAGAAAGGCACATGGATGCATGGGGTAGCGCCCCTGCAGCAAGGGGTCCGCCATGGCTGGGAACTTCCTCCTGTCCTTGAAGAGCGGCCGCGCCTGTGATGGGTGGGGGGAGCGGGGTTGGTGGGCGGTAGGAAGACAGAATGAGAGAGAGAGAGACACACACACATGGATGCAAGGGGTCGGGGAGAAGGGAGGAAGTGGAGGACATAGCGAGAGGTGGCGACTCAAAGGTACAGTCCTCACATCGGGGTATTGGCGCAGCATTAGAAGGGCCGCCAACTGCTTTGTCAATCGCACAATCTGTGAAGCTCTCGGACATGACAGTCGCAAACTCACGCAATGTGCAGCATTCGCATGCATTAGTGAACAAAGAGGGGGGGATTTCACACCAAATCACCTTGCGCAACAAGGGCAACGACCAAAAACACCCACCCAAGCAACGAGGTTGTGCTCTCCATGCGGCCTCGAGCTGTCAATGGCCTTCCGCCCCGTGATCAGCTCCAGCAGCACCACTCCGAAACTATACACATCGCTCTTAACCGTGAGCTGCCCCGTCATCGCATACTCGGGCGCGCAGTACCCATACGTGCCCATCACCCGCGTCGACACGTGCGTCTTGTCCCCCACAGGCCCCAGCTTCGCCAGCCCGAAATCCGAGAGCTTGGGGTGCCAGTTCTCGTCGAGGAGGATGTTGGAGGACTTGAAATCGCGGTAGATGACGGGCGGAGAAGCCTCCTCGTGAAGGTACTCAAGGCCCTTGGCCGCCCCTGCTGCCACTCTCATGCGCTTGCTCCACTCCAGACTCGCCCTGCCCTCAGGTAGGTCTGAGGGGGAGGGGATGGCGGGGGGTGGGGAGGGAGAATAGGGAGGGAGGGAAAGAGCGCGGACGAGGAGGTGGGGATGAGGCGGGGGAGAGGCGGGGGGGAGCGGGGGAGGAGGTGCGGGGAGATGCAGGGGAGGAGGAGGCAGGGGAGGAGGGCGAGCGGGTCAAGCGGGGCAAGTCGAATGTGTTGAGATCTCCTCCCTCACTCCTCTCCTCATCCCTCAGTCCTCTCCTTCCTCATTCCTCGCCCCACTTATCACACCGTCCGCACTGACCACTCTCTCTCCCACCCTCACCATGCAGATGGTCCTCGAGCACGCCACGTGGCATGAACTCGTCCTGACTCCTCTCCTCCTTTTCTCAACACACCATCCGCACTTACTCTCTCCCTCTCTCTCACCATGCAGATGGTCCTCAAGGGCGCCACGTGGCATGAATTCGTACACCAGCAGCCGTTGATCGCCGTCCGCGCAGTAGCCAATGAGATTCACGAGATTCGGATGGTGCAGCAGGCTGAGCATGAGCACCTCCACCAGAAATTCCCGATTTCCCTGCACGCCGTTCCTATCCAACTGCTTCACAGCTACCACCTGATTGGGCAACACCAAGAAGTGTTCACACACACGGCAGGGGGGCAAGAGCGGGAAAGAGCCGTGTGGGATTCGGATGGTGCAGCAGGCTCAGCATGAGCACCACGACCAGGAACTCCCTGTTGCCCAGCACGCCGTTCCTATCCAACTGCTTCACCGCTACCACCTGTTTGGGTAACAGAAAGGAGCATTGACAGGTTATGGCAGGGACCAGAAAGAAAAAGGTCCGTGACAGATTCGGATGGTGCAGCTGGCTGGGCATGAGCACTTTGACAAGGAACTCCCAATTGCCCTGCACCTATCCGCCCCGTTCATCACACTCAGTCATTCTCCATAAGCCGTCCCTGTTGGAATATTTAGGCACCCACCTGGCCTGTAGACTCCAGCCACCCTTTGTACACGCGACCAAACCCGCCCTCGCCTATAAAATTCTTCTCGGAGAACCCGCCCGTCGCTCGCTCCAGCTCTCGAAACGTGAACGTCTGAGCCGCAATCCGCGCTCCTGTGGGCCCCGGCGACGGCGCTGGCACTGCTGCCAATTCGCTCTGCGGTGACTGCTCCTGCGCGGGAACAGCTGGCGATCCGTGTAACCCCGGTGGACCTCCTGGTGGTAACCCGGTAACCTGTGTCGGTGGATTTGACCGTTGAGAATCTGCTGCTGGTCCATCGTCTCGTGATAACAATTGATCTGCCGGTGCCGCGGTTGGGGATTTGTCGGATCTACTAGGTTCTGAAAGGCCGCTTTGGGCTTTAATCTTCGGGCTTTGCGCTAGCAATGGTCCATTATCTGCAAACAATCGAGTCAGCAGACGGGGGAAAAACAGCGGCAAATGAAGCACCATGGAAAAAGAACATTCACAGTATATTCACTGTGGATTTGCCGATAGAGCAACGACAGAACCATTGGGAAGATTCGACGTGTCTGACTGAAGCAGCTCAGGGATTCTAAAGAGAATCGTCAACGGTTCCACCATATTTGAGGAATTCGAGCCGCCTGATCTTAGCCTAATCTGGATTATCAACTAAGCTCTACTTGCGAAGTGCGACTCTTGTGACTCTTCCTTACAGCCACATCCACCGAATTCTGGCAAAATGATATTGCAAATGCATCGTCAGTCAGCCTCAAAAGTTCTGAGCCCTTTAAAAGCAGCTGCGCTTAAAGCTAACAAGATGTTCCCCAGAATTCGGCCGAACTAATCATCCATGACTATATCTAGTAAGACTAAGTGGAGCTTGGAATTTACCACAGAAAGCTTCGAAAGAAACCACGAGCGTGTAGAGGTACCTGATAAATCGTCCGGTGCAACTTTCGGAGCGGGAACGGCCTCCTCTGATGCATCTCTCCGTCGAGGAGGAGACGTATCGTCCTTAGTTTTCGATCCCGCACAGCCCATAAGACCAGCCTATATTGCCCGTACCGCTTAACGAACCCGTTGAGTTAGATACGAACACATGCCAGCTGCAGGAAATATTGTATCATGTACTCAGCATCAGCTCAGACGAAGACAAGAGAGCCACGCACAATTCGCTCGAAATACAAAGTTACTATGACTTATTCTTGTGCTCTTCAAGACACCACGTGAAACTAATAACACTAGCACCAGGAAACTTGTGTCAGGCGTCTTTAAAGAGCAGCTTTCTGACATTCACGAAACTCCCTGATACGCTAAGATTTCCTAGACCTGATCTAGGGTTAGCGGATAAAGCAGCAGAAGCAGCTGAAGGATGGTCACAGAACAGGCAGGACAAAGAAAGTTCAGGGTGGAAGGATGAAGAGGAAGGGCTTTCCTTTGCTGGGTGACATTGTTTAACCACTGGTAAGTAGCAATGAACCGTTAAAGATCCTACAGCATCTCAGCCAACCGCATCAACACACAACGTCCAAGTGGGGTATAATGGAATGGAGAAGGGATGGATAAATCAGGAGAAAGATGCGGTAGGGTTGAATACGGTCAATTGCAGCCCACTCTGGTTTACAGTGCACTTTACTGGTGCTTGAGGTGGCTGCCGAATTCGAGAAAGTGTTCCTTTCCTTTCTTCCCGACGTTGACTGACGGACAAGCAAGCCGCTGAATCCAGCTTTCGTTTGAAGCTCGTTTTCGTTCAGTCGAAGAATTTGTACAGTACAATCATTGTGCGACGGGTGCTGCTGTAGTGGTGCTGACTGAAGGCATATTCGCTCGAATCGCATCGCTTGCTGATCCGTGTCGCACATCAACCAAACCACTCCGACCAGCAGTTGCTAGCTTGTGTTCCGCAACTCCGTTCCGTTCTGCTTCGTGCCCTCGAAAGAGCTGCATCTTGACTAAAAGCGGGCAGTGTGAGAGAAGTCCTAACAGTCATGACATGACACATCAAGAGTGCCAGCCATGACCAATTGACATGAGGTGACATGACATGGATGATGCTGACTGGGGGTCACTCACAGACCAGACAGAGTTGTGATGTGATGTGTGAGTGTGACCCTCGAGAACTTCCCCATCCGCGCTCCAGGCCTCAACCCTCGGACCACCTGTCGGGAACTTTCCCGCCACGCACGCGCGTTACGCCAATCAGGCGGGTTTGATTGCTTCATCCTCTTTCCTGGCTGAATATCCGTGTGGCAGACCGAGCCAATGGCAAGAAGCGAAAGTCCAACCTAGCCAATGTGTGGGATTACAACGAGCGTATACATTATAACTGAAACACGTACAAATAAAGAGTGGCGGTGTTCATGCTGGATGTTCCAACTGCGTGATTCTTGGACGATTCTATAGTGGGTATGAATTTTCTAACAGGTGCACTTGCCAAAAGCGATCAGCAGAGTTCGTCAATTTCGAGTGGTCGGTGGTGGGGTGCACTGCCAGGGAAGTTGACATGGTGCAGGTCAAACCGACTACCTGTAACCCGTAACCGTATCAGACCGACGCCAAACTCGCAAAAACAGCTATCCTTACCCGAGCACATTTTCTCACACCACACCCAAGCGAACATTGAGCATGCGACCGTGCGTCGCTCTTGTTCGTCCGCTGATCAACTGCGATACAGCGAATCCTCCACACGACAGCACCTAGGATGATAGCTCTAAACCTTTTCTTATCGTAGTAAACCAGATATAACCGTGGCACGTGTGTGAAAAGCGAAATTCACACGAGTCAAGCTTGCCCCAGAAGCAAGCCTGTTGTCGCCTCATGCTATGAAAGTTACTGAGTGATACGTAGTAAGTATGGGAAACCTGAAAAGCTGTCTGGAATAATTACGAGCACCCCGCGCGCGTGCCTGTTATCACAGCCACAGGCTGGTGCCGGTGAGACGGTAGAACCGCCATGAACAGCCAGTCGTTCAAGACTCTACTAAGTCCGACTAGCAATATTCCTGAGGCGCCTCAAGAAGTTATCACAGGCCACAGGCTGGGGTCGTTGAGACGGTAGAACAGCCATGGACGCCCAGTTGTGCAAGACAGTGAGCGCGACTAGCTATATCCGGCAGTGCTCCATTTCTGACGCATTACCTTGCTATATTCCCTCACTAAGCAGGCATTAGGCTCGGTGCTGTTACTTTACGTCAGTCTAGGCGTTCCCGTAGCTTTTCAGTCGACTCAAATGTCACCTCTGTAAGTGGTCGATACGATCGAAGAAACAGTCCTCGAAGCGCTGAAAATGCGGAATTTCCGTGCATTGAGCCGCGATCTCTCCCCGTTCTCCACCGTCTCCTCCGTTCGCGGCTTGGCATTCGCCGTCCTGCTCCTCTCTCCCTTCCTATCCCCCCCATCCTTCTGCCGTCCCTTCGACTTCGTAGATCCGTCGGATCGTGGGATCTTGTTGTGGAAACACCCGCAATCCTCGCAGGAGCAGCAGCAGGAAAATAATCTTCAGCAGCAGAAGCAGCATACTGCTGCTGGCGCCGTTGCTACGCGGCAGTCGTTTCAGAAAGCACCGTCGCAGAGCCTTCTCGCTGATGCGGCTCGATCTGGCGGCAGCAGCAGGCGCAGCAAAAAGGGAGCGCGAGGGGTTGCTAGTCCTAATGTGGTTGCTGACAGTACTAGAGTCGGCTTGGAATCAGAAACGTCAGAATACGGGTTACCAGCTTTGGACGACGAAATTAGCGGAAAGGTTGGCGAGAACGGCAAGCGGGTGAGGAACCCGCGGTTTGAACCGGTCCGGAACGATGACGTGGTTCGATTGAAGCAGTTGGAGACTTCCACGAAGTTCGTGGGTTTCTTGCACGACAAGGCGATCCGGTCTAGAATGCCCGTTCTGCACTCTGTGCTGTGGGAAACGCCGTGGCTGCCGGTTAGCCGTCAGGATTACTTCCGGCCTGACGGCCGGTACCTCTTCATTACCGGCTCACGCGACTACTGCGCTGGAGTGAAGCATTTCCACCTCAGCCTGACGTGTCTGATCGCGGAGGCGGCGTATCTGAACCGTACACTGATTCTGGACATGACTCAGTGCGTGAACGCGTGGCACAGCGGAGGCATGCATCATATCAGATCCATCCACGTGTACTATGACCTAGACTCGCTCAGGTAAATAATTTACTGTATTGAATTCTCTGTTTTCTATTACCGGCTTTCGTTTACCATGACCTGGACTCTCTCAGGTAATCATTTCATGTTTGATTTGTTTGTCCCTTTCTGGGCTTTGAGTGATCCCTGGAGGAGATTTTGCTCCCCTTTCCCGCTCTGATACACCCACACCACACCCTCCCACTGTGCTCATCTTGAGCTGAGAAGATCTTGCTCCCCTTTCCCCCTCTTATTTTCATTCCCATCTGTTTATGCTCTCCTCCTCAGCTGTGTCACGTACTCACGTTAAGTTCCAATCCCCCTACCTTCCCATCCATCCTCTTCCCAAATCCCCCACTGCCCCTTCCTTTGAACCCCACTGCCCCTTCCTCAACCAGGGATGCGCCCTTGACGCCGTTACAGGGGCTTTTTGAAGGGGGATCTGGATCCCCCTTCCTCCCCTTCCCCCCCTCAGCTCCCCTCAACCAGGGATACGCCCTTGACGCCGTTACAGAGGCTTTTTTAAGGGGGATCGGAAGTGGCAAGGGCAGGAGCGGCAGGCCTTGCCTCAAATATAGTCATCTCCTCTCCCTTCCGCCCCTTCCCCCCTCTTCCACTCCCACTCTCCCCCCTCGCCCGCTCCCCCGCCTCAAATATAGTCATCTCATCTCCCTTCCGCCCCTTCTCCCCTCACCCAACCCCCCTCTCCCACCCTCCTCGCCTCCCCTTCTTCCCCCCCAGAACCGTGCCCTTCACACCGCTGCAGGGCTTTCTGAGGAGGGCGAACGAATGGCCAGGCGCAGGAGAGGCGGGCGCCCTATCAAATTTGTTTTTCTTTCTTCCTCCCCTTCCCCCCTCCCTTCCGCCTCCCTTTCACCTCCTACTATTTCCCCCCCAGAACCGTGCCCTTCACACCGCTACAGGGCTTTCTGAGGGGGGCGCGCGAGTGGCAGGTGCAGGAGAGGCGGGCGGGGCGGGATGGTGCTATCCGCGCGCGTGTGGTGGATGAAAGGGCGCCCATGGCCGCACTGGCCGCGGATGGAGCTACTCCCGTGGTTATCCGCGAAACCAACTACGGGTTCAGCACGTGCAAGGTGGGTGGCAATGGGTGCAGATGGGTGCGGTTGAGTGTGGGCGGGGCGGGAGGGGGTTATCCATGTGCGTGTGGTGGATGCGCATATGGCCGCGGATGGAGCTACTCCTCTGGTTATCCGCGAAACAATGGGTGCAGATGGGCTGAGCTAGGTGAGTGTGGTTGGGGACGCATGAGGTTGGGCTGGGATTGACGGGTGGGGATGAATTGGTGGGATGGGGGTGATTCTCGTTACTGTTTTTCTATGTTTGGTTTCAGCGAGATTTCTTCCTCCTCTACTCTCTCTGTACTAACCTTCCCTTACAGAATTTCACTCCTTTCTCTCCACGTCTCTCCCCCCTCTTCCAGCTCCAGCACCCCCTTATTGGTAGTTGAGTTGAAGCCACCATTCGGTTCCAGCTGGAATCACTCTTCCTCCACATTTTCTGCACACTCCCTGCGCTATCCCCCCCTTACAGAATCCCATGTCTTTTCTTCACTCTTCCTCCACACTCCCTGCACACTCCCTGCGCTATCCCCCCCTTACAAAATCCCATGTCATTTCTTTACTCTTCCTCCGCACTCTCTACATTCTCCCCTTCTCACAGCACTTTCCCCTGTCCCCGCGCACACTAAAACACCTCCTCGCGGGTGAACGAGACAGCCATGTGTTTTCCGTATATCCCCCTGCCCCCCCAACCCCCCTCCCCCTTTTCCTTTCCAGCGCCAGAGCACCCCGGCAGGGGTGAGCAAGACGGCCATTTGGTTTCGCCCGGAGCTGCTGGCGCTGGCAGCAAACATCTCACCTCCCCCCACCCCACCTTCTTCCCCACCCCCTACCTCCCCCCTCCAGCGCCAGGACACCCCGGCAGGGGTGAGCGAGACGGCCATTCGGTTTCGCCCGGAGCTGCTGGCGCTGGCAGCAAACATCTCTGCCTCCATGAATGGAGGCGACTTTGATGCCGTGCATGTGAGGCGCGGCGACAAGCTGCGCCCAGAGTTCTGGCCGCACCTCGACCACGACACACGTCCCGACGCGTAAGGGAATTTTTCAAGCCACGAATGCTGATGATGCTTCTCGCTCCGCAAGGTTTCCTCTCTCTTATGGGATTTGTGTGAGCCACTGCCCCCCAACATCTGCCAATGCTTCCTGGTCCCCGAACAGCTCGTTTTTTACTGTGAACGAGTAGCCTTAGCTCCTGTAATATATATATGTGCATTCTTGCTTCACCTGCCATGTTGTCCTTGCTTTGATCCCACCCAGTTTACTGGAGAAGCTTCCCAGGTTCGTTGCACCGGGACGCACTCTGTACATTGCGACGAATGAGAAAACGCCAGGGTTCTTTGACCCGTTGAAGGCGATCTACACCATCCGGATGTTCCAAGATTTCCATTATCTCTGGGCTCCTGGCACACCCTGGTATGATGGGTATACACGTCTACTTGGACCGGACCCAAAAATGGATGCATACATGGAGGTGAGTTACAGTTACAATTACATTTGTGTGTGTGTGTCTGCGCGCGCGTGCGTGCGCGCCTGTGCTGTGGTGTTCTTTTGATTGGGCTAATCTGGAATCGTATTCTCTGTTTCAGGTTATTATCGAGTATACGATTCTTCAAAGTGCGAGTGTTAATGTTGAGACCTTTAACGATCTTACAGATGACGAGATCGCAGGGAATGTGTAAAATAAGATCCGTATATTGTATTTATGCGTTCATTCGAACGGTTAATGTATGTTCATGGACCATATATTGCAACTCAAAATGGATAGAACAACTTGATAGGCAAATGATATGAGAGCGAACTCTGTCTATGTTACTGTGTACTTCAATTTTGACCAGATCCCATTGTCGCGGATGTTCCAACCTCTCGGGGATTTTCCCAATCACACATCTTCTCACCCCTCAATTATCACCATATATTCGCGCCCCGCACGTATCGTTGCTGATGTCTCCCGGCTCGGCAAAATCTAGGTTGAGCAAGCACCTAGACAGGAGCCTGCCCATAGCCTAGCCTAGTCGAGAGGCTTGGCATGCGTTTTCAGTACCATGTCATACCAGTCCCAAGGCTCCTCAAACCTTGGGCTTTCCTCTTCTTCACCCAATACCGAGGGTGGTCGATAGATATTGATTGTTCGGCAGGTTTCACTTCACTTTCCACCTCATTTCATCCCCCTCGATTACTAACAAACGACACTTCATCCCATTCCACCTCTCTTCAAACATTTCATGGAAGTCAGACTTCCCATGCTCTTAGGGCTAACCTTGGCCATTGTTAGATAGCAGCTACTCGTGTTAGGGTACAGGATCATGAGTAGGAAGTTGAAGCATTTGTTCCTCTTTTCCCTCGTTGCGCGTCCGTCTCCAGATATTTGACCGCAGAGAACGCATTTGAAGTATAAGCGTCTAAGGCTTCCAGGGCTCCGGCACCAGTGTGGCCCGTAGTAGCGCGTAGCAGGGCCTAATAGTATTTCGAGTCGACTAGAAAACACACCTCGCTCCCACTCCTTGGTGACCAGATTAGTGCTTTGAATAGCCTAAGGATGGGATCAGGTTCAGGCGATGTCTCCGGAGTTGATGACATTCCTCAGGAGATTCTCGATCTCCTCCCGGCCGATCCGTTCGAAATGCTGCGAATATCGCGAAGCATCGCCGTTAGAGCAATGTCCGCGAATGCGCAGCAATGTGAGCGAGAGTCGAGTAGCATGCGCAGCAATTACGAAGCGAGCCAAGGGTCTGTGAAGAGCCTCGAGGAGAAAGTCTCGAGTCTGGAGGCCTCCCTACGGGAAGCTATCGACAAGGTCGAGAAGTCGGAACAGGAGCAGGTGCGTTCGCGTCCTTCATTTTTCCGCATAGCCCTTGTTTCCCTTTGCTCCCCTTCGTCATCTATCATCTCCCGCCATTCTCCTTTTCAATGAATCACCCTCTTTCTCGCCTTCATGTTCCTGCATGTTCCTTCACCCTCATTTTCCATCATATTCCTCGGCATTATGCCGCGTGCTTTGACTATCTTGTCTCGCACCGTTCTCGTACCGATGTTCTTCGTTTCCCACAGCTTCCCGCCCTTTTCTCGAGCCTTCCATTCGCTCTGTAGTTTATTGTTGCGAGGTGCATCTGAACGAACACTCTAAGCGTTTCATCATTTTTCTCAAACCACTCCCGTTCGTGGGTTGTTTCTCGCCACTGGCAGGCGCGGCTGTCCAATGAGAAGACGGCACTTGTCGCCATGGTGAAGAAGCTTAATCGTGACGTGGCAAAGGTGAGTGATCCTCCCCCCATCCTCAATCCAGGTTTTCCTCACACTGCCCATTATGCACCGCTCATGTGGCCCTCTCAACAGCCTTGTCTGCTTGTCGCAACCCCCAACGGTGCGTCCTCCCTTGCTTCTCTCTACCAGCGCTTTTTCAATCATCCACAAATCGTTACCTTGTATAGTATTGTAAATGTCAGGCCTTTTTTTCCGTTCGTGTTCCTCAGGTTCCTCGCAATGTCGTCATATTCTGCAGATTTTAAATGTTTGTTTCCTGTTTTTTGTTTAACTTCGTGTACAGCTGGAGACGTTCAAGCGCACGTTGATGCAGCAGCTGCAGGACGAGAACGACGACGAATCACCCTCCATGGTGAGCAATCGCATCAGATGCTCATTTCTTTGCCTGACACCTGATGTTTTTTATCTGCCCGTTCCTTTCCCTCACCCAACGCCTCATCTTCTTCACCCTTACGTGTCCCTTCTCCTCCCTCTCATCACCCTTACCCGTCCCTTTCTCCTCCTCCTCCTCACCCCTACCTTTCCTTCTCCTCCCTCCTTCAACCTTACCCATCGCTTTCTCCTCCCCTACTCACAGGCCGCAGCCACTTCCGCTGCCCCCAAACCACCAGCGTCAGAGCCCACCACGGCCTCGGCTGGTAGCGGGGCATCGGCTGCAAAGCAGGCTGGCGACAGCGCTTCTGGTGAGTGTGGGTATGACCAATTAGTAGGACTCTTGAGAGACAAGGTGAGCAGAAGCTAGCAGCGTCAAACCCACCACGGCCTCAGGTGGTAGTGGGGCTTCCGCTGCAAAGTTGACTGGCTACAGCGCTTCTGGTGAGTGTGGGGATGAAGGGACAGGAGGGATACGGGCGGTTGGGCAGTGTGTGTGACAACAATAGTGACGACCTCCATTGCCTCCGCTGGTAATGAGGCTTCCGCTTCAAAGCAGACTGGCGACAGCGCTTCAGATGAGAGGAGAGAAAGTCAGAAGGAAAGGATTACTCTCTCGTGGGAAGTGCGTGGGACAAGGGCCAAGTGACAACTCTCAATGCCTCTGCTGCTAGTGGGGCTTTTGCTGCAAAGCAGCATGGTGACAGTGCTTCTGGTGAGAGGATCGACAGAAAGGAGGAAGGGAATGCGCTCGGGGGGAGAAGTGACGACCCCCATTGCCTTTGCTGGTAGCGGGCCTTCTGCTGCAGACTGGCGACAGCGCTTCTGGTGAGCGTGGGGATGAAGAGGTAGCAGAGATAGGGGCAAGTGGGCAGTGCGTGGGTCGAGGAGGAGTAACCAGCTGAGGAAGGCGCTTTTGTTAAGCGTGGGGATGAAGAGACAGGAGGGAGAGGGGTGGGTGGAGAACACACACCACTGCTGCCTCTGGTGAGTATGAGGAAGGGGACAGAGGGGCAGAGGGGCAGGGAGGGAGGAAGGCGGAGGGAAGGACCATTTACGCTCATCTGCCTACCATGTGCCATCTGTTATGTGCCATCTGTTATGTGCCACTATTGTGCAACTAGTGTGGCATTAGTGTGCCACTAGTGTGCCATTAGTGTGCCATTAGTGTGCCATTAGTGTGCCATTAGTGTGCCATTAGTGTGCCATTAGTGTGCCATTAGTGTGCCATTAGTGTGCTCATCTGCCATCTGCTGCTCCTCTCTCCCACCCTCGCTGCATGCTCCCGACCAATTAGATGCGGACAGCAATGCCGGGGACAAGGCCAAGCCAGCCAATCAGACGCCGACGCCAGCTGCAGCAGAGACTAGTAAGCCCTCATTATCTCCTATTCAGCCCCTCTCTCTCCTCTTCGTTTCTCTCAAGTCCTCATTATCTCCTATTCAGCCCCCCTCTCTCCTCTTCGTTTCTCTCAAGCCCTCATTATCTCCTATTCAGACCCCTCTCTTTCCAAATGCACCAAAGACTGACAATGTGCAATAACATGAGCATCAAGCAGCAGCAACCTGCATGCATGCATGCTGACTAGTTTCCCTCTCATCCCATACCCCTCGCATCCTTCTTTTCTCTTGTTTCAGCCCCCAGGCCGCCCAGCATTGCAATTCCAACAAGCAGCAACATGGGCAGCAGCAGGCAGCACCAATCTACTCGCATGCTGACTAGTTGCCACCTCATCCTATACCCCTTTTGCATCTCAGCCCCCAGGCCGCCCAGCATTGCAATCCCAACGGGCAGCAACATGGGCAGCAGCAAGCAGCGCACGCCCCTCATGACGCCCTCCCTGGTCTCCCCTCAATACACGCCCTCCGCCACTCCCCCCCACTCCGCCTCGGGTGCTCCCCGTGAAGGTGAGGGGTGCATGGGGTGCATGGTGTGATTCTATGGGGTGCATGGTGTGATTCTATGGGGTGCATGGTGTGATTCTATGGGGTGCATGGTGTGATTCTATGGGGTGCATGGTGTGATTCTATGGGGTGCATGGTGTGATTCTATGGGGTGCATGTGTGTAATTCTATGGGGTGCATGTGTGTGATTCTATGGGGTGCATGTGTGTGATTCTATGGGGTGCATGTGTGTGATTCTATGGGGTGCATGTGTGTGATTGCATGGGGTGCGTATGTGGTGAGCGCACGCCCCTCATGACGCTCGCCCTCCGCCACTCCCCCCCACTCCGCCTCGGGTGCTCCCCGTGAAGGTGAGCGCTGCATGGGATGTGTAGGTTTCATGTTGTGCATGAGGGCCATGCGTCAAGTATATGGGTGCATGTGTGTGATTGAGTGGGGTATGTAGGTGTGATTGTGGGATACATACCCGCTGCCACTTCCCCCATTCCGCTGCCGGTGCTCCCCATGAAGGTGGGGGTTGGGTGGACGGGGTGTATGTTTCGCGTATAAGGTTGAATGTATGTGTTTTTGCATGGGATACGTAGGCGTGATGGTGGGTGACATCCCCACTGCCACTTGCCCCCATTCCGCCTCCAGTACTCCTAGTGAAGGTGAGATGAGGATGGTGTGGGCTGCATGGGGTGGGTGGGTATTCAGGGGTGGGGTGCAATGCAATAGGGTAAGGTGCATTAGGTTGTCGTGCATTGGGTGAGTTTATGTGAAGGTGCGTTGGGTAACTGTATGGATTGCTAGCATGGCAAGACGACTTTTGAGTCGACTCAAAGGTCACCTCGTTTATGTGAAGGCGCACTGGGTAACTGTATGGTCGAATTTTGAGTCGACTAAAAAATCGACTTATCACATTGGGTGAGTTTATGTGAAGGTGCACTGTAACTGTATGGATTGCTAGCATGGCAAGACGCCACAGGAAAACATAGTTATGTTTCATGGACCTGTGTGATTGTGTCATTGTGAAACTATATGACCGTGTATGTGCATGTGTATGCGTCTGTCCACATGCGTGTGCATGTGTATGCGTCTTTCCACATGCGTGTGCATGTGTATGCGTCTGTCCACATGCGTGTGCATGTTCATGTGTGTGTGCCGTCTTTTTCTTTTTTTCAAGAGCTCGACGTAACAATCTTTATCTTCGACCGTTGATGCATGTGCCCCGTGCTTTACTCGCTGCTCGCAGGTCGGCCACCAAGAGTGGATGGCAAGGAATTCTTCAGACAAGCAAGGTAATGCCCATTCCCCCTTTCATTGCTTTTGTTGAGATGTATTTTGAAGCGCCAAAAAAATCCGCGAGCATTGAGGTGTATTTTGAGGCACCTCAGAATACTGCCAAAAAAATCCGCTCTGCTCGCAGGTCGGCCACCAAGAGTGGATGGCAAGGAATTCTTCAGACAAGCAAGGTAATGCCCATTCCCCCTCATTGCCCTGTGTTGTTCTGTCAAGTCACCGTTAGACGCCCACTTCACTGCATTTCCTGGTATGCAAACCTTCTGCCATTAGCAAGCATTGCTACTTGCCATTGAGCATTGCTAGCTACTTACAAGTAGCAAGTAGCGTCGCATGCTCAATGGCATGGTGTCTCTCTCTTTCGTCACCCATGTCCTCCTCTCTGCTGCCCCCCTCTCCTCCGGCACACACAAGCACAATGGGAGGTCTGCCATTTTTCCTGCAACCTCTCTCTCACTTCTTTCTACTCTTCCTCCCCTCCACCACCACAATCCCCACACCTCTCCCAGGAACCGTCTGCCATGCAAGCAGTTCAGTTCATTGCATTCCTTGTTATTCATTTCATACAAGTGTTTGCTTCTTTCCCTTGTTATTACCTCCCCATCCTCCCCCACCATCGCTTTCTCCCTCCCCCCATCGCCCTCTCTCAGGAACCGTCTGTCATACGAGCAGTTCAGCGCCTTCCTGGCCAACATCAAGCAGCTCAACAGCAGTTCAAGCTTCTTTCCCTTGTTTCCACCTCCTCACCCTCTTCCACCCTCCCCTTCTCCCTTCCTCCCCCCCCCTGGCTCCCCCATTCGCGTCTCTCAGGAACCGTCTGTCATACGAGCAGTTCAGCGCCTTCCTGGCCAACATCAAGGAGCTCAACGCACACAGACAGTCCAGAGAAGTGCGCCTCTCTCCCACCATGTCCCCTCCTCTCCTCCCACACACGGACCACACCCCCTCCTCTCCTCCCACACACGGACCACACCCCCTCCTCTCCTCCCTCACACGGACCACACCCCCTCCTTTCTTCCCCACACCATATCCTTTCTTCCCCACACCATATGCTTTCTTCCCCACACCATATCCTTTCTTCCCCACAGCCCCTCGTTTCTCCCACACACTCCCTCCTTTTACCCCCTTGTCTAGCTCCTCCCCACCCCACCCACTTCATCTCCCAACGCTCTCCAACCACTTTCCTTCCCGTTCCTCTTCCCCTTACTTCTGGTTTCCAAGTTCGTGCTCTTCTTTAGTCTTGCGCTCTCCGCAACCTCCTTCTTTTCTTCCCCATTCCTCATCTCCCACACCTTCCATCCTCTCCTTCCCTTCATTTGCAAATACCAAATTCTTAGTTGCCTATTTTCTATTTTTGAGGCGCCTAAAAAATAGGCGACTCAAAATACCAATCTGCTTAGTTGCCTATTTTCTTCGCTGGATGGAACTACCTCATTTTCCCCTGGCACTCCCCCTATTCCCCTACGATTTTTCCACCTGAAACGCCCATTATCGCAGGAAACGCTGTGCAAGGCAGGCGAGATACTTGGGCCCGACAACAAAGACCTCTACTCAGCATTTGACGGCCTGCAGTTGCGACACCACCATCCCGCCTTTTAACTCCTCATAACCCTCTTCAATCTCCCACCTGAAACGCCCGTCATGACAGGAAACACTGCGCAAGGCGGACGAAATATCTGGGCCCGACAACAAGGACATGTACACAGCCTTTGATGGATTGCTGTCGCGACACCTGCCCTCCTGAAGTCCCCCTTCTCACCCCACTTTTTCCCACCCGAAATGCTTGTCATGGCAGGAAACGCTGCGCAAGGCAGACGAGATATTTGGCCCCGACAACAAGGACCTGTACACGGCCTTTGACGGGCTGCTGTCGCGGCACCTGCCGTCCTAGACTCAGAACCTGCCGCCCTGCGCTTGCTCCCTGCCGCCCTGCGCTTGCTCCCTGCCGCCCTGCGCTTGCTCCCTGCCGCCCTGCGCTTGCTCCCTGCCGCCCTGCGCTTGCTCCCTGCCGCCCTGCGCTTGCTCCCTGCCGCCCTGCGCTTGCTCCCTGCCGCCCCACTCTTGCTCCCTGCCTCCCCACTCTTGCTCCCTGCCGCCCTACGCTTGCTCCCTGCCAACCAACAGTCAATCCCTGCCATCCCACATACACATCTGCCACCCTATCCCCGCATCCTGCCAAGATGCCGCACCCAAGCAGCTTTGTTAAGGCCTCTGGCGTTCTGTTTGCCCTTCCACATGCCTAAGCCGGCTTCCCACCCCACCCTTCCACCATGCCTAACGCCAAACGTGGTTGTCATGCATTAGTCCACCTAGAAAAAACCGTCTTCCTTACAGCCCTGTTCTTTGTGTTAGAGCATTTCATATTTATTCTGTGTGCAGCCTAGCCTAGTGATCCTTGCTGGTTATCATCAACAGCAGGGTTATGGTACAGCCCTGCAGCACCACTGCCTCCTTATTCATTAATTTTGTAGTGTGCATCTTGCCAGGGTATGACTTGACTAGATATTATGCCACGCCAGCTCTTTTGGCTGTGGCAGTTACAAACGATATCAGGCTGTAGTACGTTAGTACAGGATAACAAATTTATAATTGGCTCGTACAGAAATACCCTACTGCATTACAATGGGCTTGTATGGGCCTTAGCATGCACAATTGACTGTGCATTACGTATTACACTGGGAGACACAGAACCCTATACAAGAGGCAGTAGTGTTAATATTGGCCTATGAGACTAGGACTTGGGAGATTGAGAGTAGTTACGAGGATGGAGAGAAGATTGTAGAAAGGAGGAATTTCACTATAAACAAAAGGTACAAATAGGCAAGGCAAGAGAGAAGGGTACACCATCAGCAATTGCAGCTACCGTAATAACACACTGGTACACTAGCGAACTGTAGGCATATCAACTCAGCTCGGAAATGCTCTGGAACAACATGCTGTTGTCTGTGAGCTCGGTCAATGCCTTTTCAGGGCCGAAGGCCTTATTCCATCCTCTGCATCGTTCGTCAGGTTGTTGAACGTGAAAACTTTTGTTTTCGCGGCAAACAGAACCTTGTACTCCACAATGGCCTGTAGCACAAGGTAGAACAGATAAGTATAAGATTGCAGGGTCAGGCACACCAGGACACACATACATAAGCATGGCAAACAGAACCTTGTACTCCACTATGGCCTGTGAGCACCAGGTAAAACAAGGAAAGGATGAAGGATAAATGCACAAGGACACACACACACACACACACACTCTCACACACACACACACACTCTCTCTCTCTCTCTCTCACACACACACACACACACACCTCCATATAGGGGTCGAGCTTGGGATCCGGACCCAGGATTCGCGCGTATCCATCAAACCAGGGAGTCCCAGGCGCCCAGAGGTGGTCGAAGTCCCGAAATTGCCGAATCTCAAAGACCACCTTCAACGGGTCGAAGAACCCGGGCGTTTTCTCATTCGTCGCGATGTACAGCGTGCGTCCCGGTGCAACGAACCGGGGGAGCTTCTCCAAAAGGCTGTTAAAGTGCATGGAAGAGGCAAACAGACGGGTAACAGAAAAGCATTGGTAAACATTCATTGAATGTGCTCTCACCAGCAGCATTAACTTAACTGGGGGAGACTCTCCAGTAGACTGTAACAGAGCTAAGTCCAGGGAAAAGACAGGTAACAGAAAACCGTTCAGAGGAAAATTCAGGCTATGCATTCCAAGAAGCTAAAAAAATGCTCACCATTAGCAGCATTCATCATTAACTTATTATCGTCGTAACACGGCTGAATTGGAGTCAAGAGTGGCTGAATTACGCGGGAAGGCTCGTGTCGTTTGCCGCGTGCGGTTACACGTCGGTGTTGAGCTTCTCTCCCCTCCTCACCCTCACAGCGTCACAGTCCCTTTTGAGTCGACTCAGATTGAAGACTGTGCAGCAGTTAACTTACGCAGGAGGGCTCGTATCGTTTGCCACATGCGGCCACATGTCAGTGTTGAGCTTGTCTCCCCTCCGCACTCTCACGGCATCATAGTCCCCCGCATTCATGGATTGAGACATGTTGGCTGCCAGGCCCCTCAGCTCCGGACGAAAGAGAATGGCCGACTCGTTCGCCGTGATGTAGTCGACTCGCTGTTATGGATGGAAGAGGGTGGGTGGATTTTGGATGGGGCAGGAGAATACATGGATTGTGATATGCTGCCGGCTGCTAGTCCCCTGAGCTCCGGCCGCAAGAGAATGGCGGACGCGTTCGCCGTGATGTAGTCAAGTCAAATCACTGTCACGCATGGCAGGGCGGATGGGAGGGTGGCCAAGATGGTATTGAGGCGTTTCAAACGTCCTGCTGGGCGGAAGAGAATGGCGGACTCGTTCGCCGTGATGTAGTCAAGTCAAATCACTGTCACGCATGGGTGGAGAGGGAGGAGGTGGGGGAGAGGGAGGAGAGGGAGGAGGTAGGAGGGTAGGGAGGAGAGGAGGGCACTCATCGAGTTGGGCCGGTTGCAACACTCACCTTTTTGAGTTGACTCAAAAGAGTGCCACGAGGGAAAGGAGGAGAGGGAGGAGCGGGAGGAGAGGGAGGAGAGGGAGGAGAGGGGAGGAGAGGGAGGAGAGGGAGGAGAGGGAGAAGAGCGAAGAGAACGAGGAGAGGGAGGAGAGAGAGGAGGGAGTGGAGGGAGGAGAGGAGAGGAGAGAAGAGGGGAGGAGAGGGGAGGAGAGGGAGAGGAGGAAGGAGAGGAAAGGAGAGGAGAGGTTGGGGAGGAGAGGGAGAAAAGGAGAGTAGAGGAGAGGAGAGGAGAGGAGAGGGAGGAGAGGGAGGAGAGGAGAGGGGGGGGGAGGGGAAGAGAGGAGAGGAGAGGAGAGGAGAGGAGAGGAGAGGGGAGGACAGGGAGGAGAGGAGAGAAGAGGAGAGGAGAGGAGAGGAGAGGAGAGGAGAGGGAGGAGAGGGAAGAGAGGAGAGGAGAGGATAGGAGAGGAGGAGAGGAGAGGAGAGGAGAGGAGAGGGGAAGAGAGGAGGAGAAGCGCTCACCATATTTTGCCAGTTGCAGCGCTCCCCTCGGCACGGGTCAAAGCCGTAGTGACCGTCTCGAATGATGAGCGCGGTGGTGCTGTCCTGCGCTATGGCCTGCAGATAGTGAATGAAAAGAGGGGGTGGGAGGAGAGGCTGATGAGGGTGATTGCACAAAGCTGTAGTGACCGTCTCGAATGATGAGCGTGGTGGTTCTGTCCTGCGCTATGGCCTGCAGAGGAAGGGAAGGGAGAGGAGGAGGGGGGTTGTGGGAGGAGTGGCTGATGTGGGTTCATTGCACAAAGCTGTAGTGACCGTCTTGAATGATGAGCGCAGTGGTGCTGTCCTGGGCTATGGCCTGCTCGTGGGGGGGGGGAGGGGGGGAGAAGTGGGGGGGTATGGCTGATGGGGGTGCTTGCACAACACAGAATGATGAAGGTGCTTGCACAACACGGAATGATGAGGGTGCTTGCACAACACGGAATGATGGGGGTGCTTGCACAACACGGAATGATGGGGGTGCTTGCACAACACGGAATGATGGGGGTGCTTGCACAACACGGAATGATGGGGGTGCTTGCACAACACGGAATGATGGGGGTGCTTGCACAACACGGAATGATGGGGGTGCTTGCACAACACGGAATGATGGGGGTGCTTGCACAACACGGAATGATGGGGGTGCTTGCACAACACGGAATGGTGAGCGCGGTGGTGCTGGCCTGCGCTATGGCCTGCTCGTGGGGGGTTGCGGGGAGGGGGGGGTGGGGAGGGGGAGAGGGTGGGTGATGGAGGTTGGCTCATGTGGGTGCTTGTGCTACACCGACTGGGGGATGAATGAGGGGGGATGGGGGAGGGGGGATGGGGGAAAAGGGCAAGGGGTGGCGTTTAACGCATGTGGGTGCTTGCGCTACACCGACTGGGGGATGAGGGAGGGGGGATGGGGGAGGGGCCAAGGGGTGGTGTTTAATGCATGTGGGTGCGCGGCATACAGCACCGAACGATGAGCGTGCCTGTGTTGCGTGAAGTGAGGGTGTTTTTGAGACGTCTCAAAAGCATACAGCACTGAATGATGAGCGTGCCTGTGTTGCGCTGGGCTATGGCTTGCACATGGGGGTGCCGTGATCTGGTCTTCGGACATGTTCTCAGCGAGCAGCAAACCTGAACCTAGGCTGTTGCATGCTTTGTGGTACAGCGACCTAGGCTGTAGCATGCTTTGTGGTACAGCGACCTAGGCTGTTGCATGCTTTGTGGTGCAGCGACCTAGGCTGTAGCATGCTTTGTGGTACAGCGACCTAGGCTGTTGCATGCTTTGTGGTACAGCGACCTAGGCTGTTGCATGCTTTGTGGTGCAGCGACCTAGGCTGTAGCATGCTTTGTGGTGCAGCGACCTAGGCTGTAGCATGCTTTGTGGTGCAGCGACCTAGGCTGTTGCATGCCATGTGTGACTGAGTCTTCTTTGAGTCTTCCCACACACGGTCTCTCACCCGTGTTCTTGTGTCGTCTTTAATCGACTAAAACATCGCAGAGAACCGTATGACTGATCTGACTCACTCCAGTCTTTGGGTTGAGTGTTCTCAGGAGTCGTTAGTACCTCACTTGGTCCCAGTCTCTGGGTTGACTAACGACTAATCTGCATCCTCCAGTCACTCAACCTGTCATTGTGTCTGCAATCCCAGTCAACTAAGAGGCTGACTGGGAATGACTGAACAGCATCGCACAGTATGACTGAACTGACTCACTCCAGTCTTTGGGTTGAGTGTTCTCAGGAGTCGTTAGTCACTCACCCGGTGAGGTGACTCGCTCCAGTCTTTGGGTTGACACAAGGACAGGGTGAGGTGAGGTGTTATCAGGAGTCGATAGTACCTCACCTCACCTCACCCTGTCCTTGTGTCTGCCCTACATTCCCTGTCAATTAGGAGGTTGTCAAGAGTAAACAGGTGGGCTGCGGAGGCCTTATTCCCAGCCAACTAGGAGGAGGTTGCAGATTAAGACTAATTTACCTGTCCTTGAGTATTCTCAAGAGAAGTTACTCACTCACCCAGGTCCGTGTGTCTGCTTGCACCACACGGGCAAACAGGGCTGTAGCTGAAACACCCTCCCCTGCAGATACACCCTCCTCTCCAGATACACCCTCCTCTCCAGATACACCTCTCAACCGCCCTCCAGTGGCCTCCCCCTTTCCATCCGCCTTTTCCCCCCTGTTGCTCCCCTCCCCTCCCCCCTGCTCTTGCTGCCGCTGCCACTCCTTCAGACCCTGCAGGAAACCGTTCAGGGGGGTGAATCTGGCGGCCCTGCAAGAGTGAGAGGGGAAAAAGGAGCGAAAGGGAAAAAGAGAGGAAGGAAAATAAAGAAAAGGGGGGGGGGGGGGGGGGGGGGGGGGGGGAGGGGGGAGGAAGGAGAGAAAGCGAAAATAGAGAAAGGGAAAAAAAAAAGAGAGACAGTGAGTCACTCCCAAGCCACTGCCAGGCCGTGCAAGAACCTGTGCAAGGGGGTGAATCTGGCGGCCCTGGGGCGAAAAGTGAAGGGCGGAGGGAGAGGCGCGGGGGTGGTGAGATGGTGGGGGTGGGGGGTTGGACGAAACGGTCGAGTCATCCCCCAGCTGCGGCCGACTTTTGAGTCATCTCGAAACGTTTCGAGTTGACTCAAAAGTCAACTCGAAACGTTTCGAGTTGACTCAAAAGTCAACTCGAAACGGTCGAGTCATCCCCCAGCTGTGGCCATTCCGCCAGCCCGTGATGGCGGGGGGGGGGGGGGGGATGGCGGGATGTGGGGATGGGGCTGGGTGAAACCGAGTCACTCGCGAGCAATGGCCTCTCCGCCTGGCCCTGAGGAGAGGGGGGGTAACCTGGCGGTCCTGCGGGGGGGAAAGAGAGAACGAGACGGGAGATTCGGGGGGGGGGGATGGTGGCGTGGGGGGAGGGTGTTACCTGAGGAAGGGTGTTGAGGGACGGTCTTACCTGAGGGAGGGCAGATCGTAGTAGTAATGCAGGCCGTGAACACTCGCAGACCCGCCGCTGTGCAATCCGTTAACGCACAACCCCATATCGAGTACAAGCGTGCGATTCAGAAAAGCCGCTTCTGCGATCTTGCACGACATGCTGCGATGGAAGTGGCGAATCCCCGCACAGAAATCGCGTTGCCCAGTAACAAAGTAGTATTTTTCGCCCGGGCGAAAGTAATCTTCTCGCCGAACTGGTAACCACTCCGTCTCCCACGTTAATCGCGGATTAATACGAAGGTACTCCAGAACCCTCGGCGAATCAAGAGGCTCCACGTCACCCAGAGTTCGCTGCTCCAGCTCCGCAAGTAACTCGTCCGCGTCGCCTGCTCCCTGCGTTTCAGAATCTGAACTCGAGCGGTTCGCCGCGCGTTCGTTTGGCGGGCTCGCGTCGTTCGCACGCTCGTGGTTACCAGTCGCTTGGTTGGATTCGTTAATTTCGCGAGAAGACGTCTCCCCCGGTTCAACAACAGCGGAAGATTCCCTTTCAGGTCCCGATTTGTCTCCCTCCGACCCTTTGTCAGATTCGTCTCTCTCCGACCCATTTTCCGGATTCCCTCGCCCTTCGCTCTGTCCCCCGCCATTCTCGTCCACCTCCTCACTCTTACCCTCGTTCTCCGCATTCTCCGCCTCCGCATTCCCCGCCTCGGCATTCTCCGCGTTCCCCGCCTCCGCATTCTCCGCAATCCCCGCGTCCTCGCTCTCCGCTACTCCCGCATCCTCCCCCGCTTGAACATCCGCGTCCCCCTCTTCCGCCATATCCCCCGCGCCCCCTTCCGCTGCGATACCGCTTGCCGCAAGCCCCTCTTGCTTCCCCAAGGCCCCTTCAGCATTCTTATTCTCCGCTTCCGCCACATCCCGCGCCGCTGCCGCAGCAGGTTCCGTTACCGCCCCGCTCTCCGTCTCAATATCCGGCATCACATCCCCCTCGCCTCCCGCTCTTACACCTCGCGGGAAGTCAACGAGCCGCGTGAGGTCTCTCGGACCGCTCGTTAGCGCCGCGAATTGCGGCACCAGCACGATGAGCAGCAGCGGGACGGCCCAGAACAGCCCGTGGAGTAGTAAACGCCCCCTCCAATCAGAATTACCTTTTTTCAAGCTTATTGCCACGTCAGCGAGCTTCCACGTGTCACTAAAGTACCCGAGAAAAGAATTTGAAGGACATTTACCGTCGCCAACACCGCCACTGCCACTGCCACCGCCACCGCCACTGCCGCCGTCACTGCCGCCGCCACCGCCACCGCCATCACTATCGCCTTCGGCGGCGTCGCCATTGCCGTCTAGCTCATTTCGGGCTCGTAGGGCGGTAGATGAATGCGGGCAGGCCCCGCACATCGCGCCGAGATCATCGCCGAATATTGCGCCGTTTCTCGCGGGGGCACTCCCCGTCTGGCTGTCGAGCGCGGCGGCGCCTCCTTCGTTCGGCACTGCATGATGCGGAAGGAATGGACGCTCAATCTCGTCCTCGGACCTTGCCGGAGGTATATTGAAATCACTTTTGAGAATTCTCAAAACCTCGTGAGGCGCATGAGGCGACCTCTGCGGAAGGACTGGACGCTCAATCTCGTCCTCGGACCTCGCCGGAGGCATTAGAATAGCCCTTTCCATGCTCCTGCTCCTGCTACTTACACGCCGTGGTGACTTTCTCCAGTGGACTAAAATCCTTCTACTTACGTCTCGCGATTGATTACATAAAGATTGTCAATGTCGAGCGAGAGGGATGGCTTGATTGAGACGCGCGCCCCGGACAGACATAGAAGAAGGAGCTTATATGCTTGATTCTGGTTCGTCGATGAGGTGCGACTAACTTCGAGCTGCTGCTGACTGAACCGGAATCAAGATTTTGATGTACTGAGGAAGGAGAGCCTCTCCTCCCTGAGGGGCTGCTGTATTCGGAACAGAATGGCTAGGTTCGGGTCGGAAGACGCTTGGGTCAAGTGCGGTTGTGGGCAGGGCACACCAGGCAAATGCCCTTGAATTGACAGCCCTGGGGCACACCATCGCTGTGTTCGTCGTCCGCATGCAGACTACGAAACAGATTTTCGAGCCAAGCCATTTAGCAGAAGTCGAGTCGCGAGCGGTGCCAGAGAACGGGCCGGCAGGCGTCGTATGTACGGAAAATGATGGGGTTGGGGAGAGGAAGAGCGAGCGAGGCGAGGTTACTGTGCTGTGCTCAATGAAGGATGCCCTCCCCTGACTGCGGAGCGGCGGAACAGCATTCCCTTGACTGCGGCCGCGCAACTCCTGTGTTCGCGGAATATAGACAATCAATCATGGCGCCCCTGTAAGCTGACGCTCTATCGAGTTTGCGGATGACAAAAGCGAACCAGCGGCTCGCTCGTGGATGGATGGAACAAGAATCCACACAAGGGTTGCAGTTGATTGTGCTGGTGAATTGGCATTCTGTAGTGAGACAAACAATTGGAGTAGAAGCATGTAAGATACAGTGCAGACCTGCTAAAATTGTTTTATACTATCGGAGGCAACCTGTTAGGAATGTAATAAATATGGCCTGGCTCAAAACAGCAGCGTCCTATGCATCGTTCCACACATGGTCACTCAGTATGGCACCAAATTGCCAGCTAGGAAATCCACCAGGCCCAGTATGGCCCATGGCATGCAAGATAGAGCATGCATTATTATATGAGAAACATGGAACACTATACAAGAGGCAGTAGTAATGCTCTAGGACAATACAGCTGTTGTCCTTTAGGTCACTGAATGCCTTTCAACGACCTCAGTCAATACCTTTTTTCATGGCATCATGGCATGCCTCTGTTGCACGGTCTCAGTCAGTGCCTTTTCATGGCTGAAGGCCTTATTCCACCCTCGGCATCGCTCGTCAGGTTGTTGAACGTGAAAACTTTTGCTTTCGCGGCAAACAGAACCTTGTACTCCAAAATGGCCTGTAGCACCACACAAGGGATAAAAGAAGAAAAGGAGGCGGTGAGACACACAAAGACATGGGAGGACACATGGATACACACGCGCACAGCATACACGCGCAGTGGCAAACAGACCCTTGTACTCCACAATGGCCTGTGGGCACAATGCCAGACAGGAAAGTATAAGATTGCGGGTCACGCATACCAGGACACACACACATAAGCATGGGAAACAAAATCTTGTATTTGATACTTTTAAGTTTCAACGGGTCGGGCCCGTTGAGTAGCACAGGGTGAGGCAATTAAGCATGCAGGTTAGACGCACGAGGACACGCACTCGCACCCCCACCCACCCACCCACACAACCACAGACACAAACAAATGCACACACACACACACACACACACACACACACACACACACACACACACACAAGCACACCCAAGCACACACACACCCACACACACACAAGCACACCCAAGCACACACACCCACACACACACGTGCGCACATGCACACACACATTCACACACAGACACACACACGCATGCACACTCACACACACACGCAAACACACACACACACACACACACACACACACACATGCACACAGACATGCACACACATGCACACGTGTGCACAGACACACACTAGTAACGAACATTGTGTGTCATCATGTGTGAAGTAAAAAAATGGCCTAGGGTGTACTGTACCTCCATGTAGGGGTCGAGGTGACTTTGGAGTCGACTCAAAAGTCACCTCGTTACAATGGCAAGGGCCTAGGGTGCACTGTACCTCCATGTATGGGTCGAGCTTGGGACTCGCACCCAGGATGCGCGCGTATCCATCGAACCAAGGCGTGCCAGGCGCCCAGAGGTGGTCAAAGTCCCGAAATTGCCGAACCACAAAGATTGCCTTCAGCGGGTCGAAGAACCCGGGCGTTTTCTCATTCGTCGCGATGTACAGCGTGCGTCCAGGTGCAACGAACCGGGGGAGCTTCTCCAGTAGACTGTAACATCGCAAGGACGCGGAAGAAAAAGTCAGGTAACAGAACGTTATTTAGAAGAAAACTTTGATTTTGCAGCCCAAGAATATATTGAATTTGCTCACCAAGAGCACTGACTTCTAATATTCACAGCTTTATTGACTTACGCGGGGGGGCTCGTGTCGTTTGCCACGTGCGGCCACACATCGGTGTTGAGCTTGTCTCCCCTCCTCACTCTCACGGCGTCATAGTCCCCCGCATTCATGGATTGCGACATGTTGGCTGCCAGGCCCCTGAGCTCCGAACGAAAGAGAATGGCGGACTCGTTTGAGATGATGTAGTCGAACCTCTGTCAGGGATGGACGGGTGGGTGGGTGGGTGGGCAAGATGGTAGTATTGAGGCGCTTCAACAGTCGTGTTGGGCGGAAGAGAATGCTGGATTTGTTTGAGATGATGTAGTCGAACCTCTGTCAGGGTTATACGGGTGGGTGGGTGGGATGGGTGGGATGAGGTTGGGGTTGGGGCAAGCAATAAGATGAATTCTTGAACTTTTGCAAGGAACACATAAGAGAGAGAAATGGTTGGGTTGAGACATGCTGCCTGCCAACCCCCTCAGTTCAATGCAAGACTCGTTCGACGGAAGAGAATGGCAAACTCGTTCGATGCTATGTAGTCGAACCGCTGTTATGGATGGACCGGACCAGTGGGTGGGGCAAGAACAAGGGCAGGATCGAAAGATGATTGCCACTCAATCCAGAACAAGGGCAGGATTGAAAGATGATTGCCACTCAATCCAGAACAAGGGCAGGATTGAGAGCAGCGTGTTCATGCTCCTCTCCTCCTTGCACACTCAAGGAGAAGGCAGAGAGGGCTCACCTTGATGGGCCAGTGAGAGAGCTCGTCCCAGCACGGTTCAAAGCTGAAGTGGCGTGCGACATTGAAGCAAGCTGCCGCCTTGTGAGTCAACTCAAAACACGTTGCAAAACACGTTTCAAAGCGCTCACCAGGTTGGGCCAGTGCGAGAGCTCGCCCCGGCATGGTTCAAAGCCGTAATGCCCGTCTCTTATGATGAGCGTGGTGCTGCTGTCCTGGGCTATGGCCTGCAGATGTAGGGAGGGAGGGGATTGGGGGCGGGGAGAGTTGGGGAGAGGTGGCTATTGAGGGTGCTTGCGCTACATGGAATGATGAGCGGGGTGATGCTGTCCTGTGCTATGGCCTGCTCCTAGGGCGAAGAGGTGGAGGGAGAGGGGATAGAGGGGGATTAGAAGGGAGGGGAAAGTGGGGGAGTTAGAGCAATGGCGCATGAGTGGGAGCTTGAATAAAAACATCGCAGATTATGACAGACAGATACCCCTGCCTGCCTCCCTGCCATGGAGTATTCTTAAAAGTAATTGGTTGGGAAATTACCCTAGTCCTTGTGTCTGCTTGAACCACACGGGCAAAAAGAGCTGCAGCTGGCACACTCTCCCCCGCAGATACACCCTCCCCCGCAGATACACCCTCCCCCGCAGATACACCCTCCCCCGCAGATACACCCTCCCCCGCAGATACACCCTCCCCCGCAGATACACTCTCCCCCGCAGATACACCCTCCCCCGCAGATACACCCTCCCCCGCAGATACACCATCCCCTTGAGATACACCCTCCCCTGCAGATACACCCCTCAACCGCCTTCCAGTTGCCTCCTCTCCCCTCTGCCCCTGCTTGCGCCGCCACTCCCTCATGCCTTGCAGGAACCCATTCAAGGGGGTAAACCTGGCGGCCCTGCGAGAAAGAGAGGGGAATAGAAAAGTGAGTTAATGAGTAACCCGTGCAGGCTTGCAGGGAGCAGTGCAGGGGGTTGAGCCTGGAGGGACTAGAGGGGGGTGGGGGGGTTGCGGAACGAGTAGAGAGGGGGTTGGGGACGCTGGAGAGGTGTTACTTGAGGGACGGTCTTACCTGAGGGAGGGCAGATCGTAGTAGTAATGCAGACCGTGAACACTCGCAGTCCCGCCATTGTGCATTCCGTTTATGCACAACCCCATATCGAGTACGAGCGTGCGATTCAGAAAAGCCGCTTCTGCGATTTTGCACGACAGGCTGCGATGGAAGTGGCGAATCCCCGCACAAAAATCGCGCTGCCCGGTTACAAAGTAATATTTTTCACCAGGGCGAAAGTAATCTTCTCGCCGAACTGGTAACCACTCCGTCTCCCAGGTTAATCTCGGGTTCGCATGAAGGTACTTCAGAACCCTCGGCGAATCAATACGCTCCACGTCACCCAGAGTTCGCTGCTTTATTTCCGCCTTCAACTCGTCGGTGTCGCTGTCTATCTGCGTTTCGACCTCTGAGGTCGCGCGGTTCGCTGCGTTTTCGTTTCGCAAGCTCGCGTCGTTCGCACGCTCCGCGTCGTGGTTACCAATAGCCTGATTCGGCTCGCTAACTTCGCGAGACGAGGTCTTCCCCGATTCAACAGCGGGAGGTTCCCTCTGTAATTCCACTTCGTCTCCCCCCAACTTCTTTTCCGGATTCCCGCGCTCTTCGCTCTGCCTTCCACCATTCTTGTCCACATCCTCATCCTCGTTCTCCGCAACCCCCGCCTCCGCGTTCTCCGCAATCCCCGCGTCCTCGTTCTCCGCAACCTCCCCATCCCCAATTTCCGCAACCCCCGCATCCTTCCCCACGGGAACATACGCACCCCCCTCTTCCGCCACACCCACCTCGTCCCCATCCGCTTCCGTTACCGTCTCAGTTACCGATTCAGCTGCCGTCTCCGTTACCGTTCCGCTCTCCGTCTCAATCTCCACCATCACATTCCCCTCACCTCCCACTCTTACGCCTCGAGGAAAGTCAACGAGCCGCGTGAGGTCTCTCGGACCGCTCGTCAGCGCTGCAAACTGCGGCACGAGCACGAGGAGCAGCAGCGGGACGGCCCAGAACAACCCGCGGAGTAAACCCCCCCTCCAATCAGAATGACGTTTTTTACAGAATAACGCCACGTCAGCGAGCTTCCACGAGTCACTGTAGTACTCGCCGAGAAAATTGTTTGAAGGATATTGACAGTCGCTGACCCTGGCGTCGCCACTGCCACCACCATCACTGTCGCCATCGCCATCGCCATCACCATCATCATCATATTTTTCGTTGCATTCTAAATCTTCTCGGGCTCTAAGGGCAGTAGACGCATAAGCGGATGCCCCGCACATTGCGCCGTTTCTCGCGGGGCCACTCCCCGTCTGGCTGTCGAGCGCGGCGGCTCCTTCGTTCGGCACTGCACGCAGAAGGGTTGGACGTCTAGAACCGTCCGCGGACCTTGCCGGAGGAATTAGATTAGCCGTTTCCATATTCCTGCTGCTCACGAGGCGTCACACCTGTGGTGACTTCGTAGTGGTCTAAAAAAAAAAAAAAAAACTCCTGCCACACACGTCTCGCAATTTATTAGCAAATTTGATTGAGACGCGCGGCCAAGACAAAGTAAGAACTTAGTATGGTTCGTCTATGAGGCGCGAGCGCGACTTTACTTCGATCTGCTGTTGCTGGTCCAGACTGGACATAGTGATTGAGATAGTACTGTGTTGAACTAATGAGATGGGATGAGAGGGGCTGAATTCGTGAGGGTGAGGTCAAGGCAAGAGAGACTCGCGACATTTGCCGAAACGCTAGAGGTTGGGGTTGGGGCAAACCAACTCGAAAAGAGTTTTAAGTGCCAGATGTTCCCTACTAGAACCTGGCTTCGACGGCTCCGCCGAATTACGGTAGATTGAGGTCATGATTCCTGACGTGAATGGGAAACGTGAACAATCTGTTTCTGGATTCAAAAAACTAGAATACACCATTAAAACGATTACCTGCGGGAAAAGTAGTACCAGGTATCTGATCTGGTGTCTCGACTTCAAAACGCCTCGCGTCGCGAAAGGGGCAAGGTCGAGGGGCAGGCAGACAGGCGTGCGGAAAAGGGGCGAGGAGGAGGAGCGATGATGCTTGCCCATTGAGGGGTGCGCTCCCTCAATGTAACTGGGGAGGGGACTGGGGAGCGGCGGAGCAGAAGCGCAGCCATGCCTGCGGCCGCGCCAATCATCGCGGTGCGGAATGCCGACGTTCTATCGAGCTCGTCGCAGGTGATAAAAGCGAAATGACGGCTCGCTCGTGCATGGATGAATCCACGTCGCCGTTTTTAGAATCCCCGCCAGTATTGCTGGCACTGGTTTCTCCTCGTTTTACCGAGTATATCTGTTGACGAAAATGAATGCCTCGTCAATCATCATTTAATCTCCCAGGAAAGGTATTCTGAAGGCGAGGAAGTTATTAAGAGGTACGCGCTTACAAAGCAACCGCCCACAGAATCATTAGTCAAACCGGATGTATTTTGGCCGAAACAGAGCTCCTCCAACCGCTGGCCGTCAACTTCTCGTCAGGCGGTTGAATGCCTCCGATTCTTCGCCTTCGCTTGTCCCCACAACCGCTTCCTCAACGGACTGGGCGAAAGCTGCCTTTCCTCGGCGAGGCCGGTATCTTGGTTACTAATAGCCTGGTAAGTTTCAAATTGTTTTCGCGGCCTTGAAGTTCCCGTGGAATGACCCCTCCCTGACCACCAACCAGTCGACCATCCCACAGAAACTACAGAAACCACAGAAACAAGCCCAGGAACTGAACACTTCTGAGATCCATTCATGGCTCCCTGACATTGCTTTCCCGCTAGTCCAAGTCTGGTTTCATCATTTTCCAAAACCAGAGGGCCATCCGATTTCGCGAAAGGAGCACCATTCGCATTGTGGCCTGGAGTCGCGTAGCGTGCTATCCAGTCGCTATGCCGGCCATTTGGGTGCGTACAGGTCATAGCTGACCAGGATCAATTAGGGTTCGTGATCAAGGTTGTTTATCCAACCAATTTCCCGCAGCGCTGGAGCAGACTGCACCTCAAATTCAATTCAAAATCTTGTTATTTTCCTAAATGCGTCTGTCTGTCTGACCTTAGGCCAACCGGTTACTTTCCGAGTGCTCCCGTCGCTACAGAAATCGCATCTTATTCTTATTAGAGGACGATGCTTCCGTGACTGCTCCGCCGGAAACTAGCTTCATAGATTGTTGATTTTCCTGTACTAGTAGCTACACGGTCGTACCACCTTCGTGACTGAATGAATATCAGGTGTCGCCTTCGACGTCATTGGACCCAAATTAGCGACAACTAGCCTTACCTTAATCATTACACATAATTTTCTTTCTTTCTTTCCTTTCGACCCTTCCTAAGCACTAGTATACCGTCTGTTCCGCTGGCGAATGTCGCAATGATAGCGGGGCACGATTGAACAGCAGCAGTAAACGGCAGCGTGCGAGTTCTGGGAATTCTCTCAACCATATTCTTGACTGTTTGTTCTGCTGGCGAATGTCGCAGGAATAGTGGGGAACGATTGCGAAGCAGCAGTAAACAGCAGCGTGCCAGCCTGGGGCACACGAGGTAGGAATCTAAAAGGCTTTGGAAGAAGGCTGTTAGTCCTGGAACAAAGCTAATGCCTTCGGTTATTTACTAGCCATAACCGGAAATTTATCACAATCTACGTGTTTTTCCTGCTTTCGATGCTATTTTTTAAGCATATCAAAATTCGTCTGTCCTGTTCCCATCGCTGTTTGATCATCTATTAATGTATAATATCGGCAGCTGTTGCCACTGTTCACAAGCATAAGAAAAAAATATTGTCCTGACTTCCGTTTTGCCTCTTCATTTTTTTTTATCGGTCCCCGCCTGCTCTCTACTTTCCCGTTTCTTACGCTTCAGAAAGCCTCGGTAATGCCGGCTGTAGCTGCGGTCTCTGCTCCGCATCCTCCTTCCCTGGACGAGCCGTCCTCGATCATCCCTGGTGCCATATCCGAAGCTTCACCAGAGCTTTCCGCGCTACAGCCTTCCTCGCTACAGCTTTCCGCGCTACAGCCTTCTGCGTTAGACACTTACCTTTGCGATTCCGCGCTGGACCCTTCGCTTCCGGCGGCAGCGCCAGGAGCAGCAGCAGGAGCAGTAGAAAGGGTAACATCTGCAGAAGCAGCAGCAGCAGCCGAAGAAGGAGCAACAGCAGGAGCGGGACTCGGAGGGGCGGCGACCTCAGAACCACCTAATCCCCCAGCCGCAGAGAGCAGCGCTGCAGGCGCGGTCGTGGCGGGGGAGGCGGCAGCCACTGGGGAAGCACTCGGCGGCGCAGAGGCAGGGGGGAGCGGAACAGAAGCGCAAGGAGCAGCGGGCCAGGGGTCGCAAGAGCAGGGGGGAGGAGGGGTTGGGGGGCAAGGGGGGCAGGGGGCCTTGACCGGAGCACAAGGGACAGCGGGAGCAGGAGGGTCAGGGGCCGCGGGAGCAGGGGAGGCAGGGGAGGCAGGGGGAGTGCCGGCGGGAGAAGCAGGGGGGGCAGGAGGAGGGGGAGCGGAAGGAGCAGGGGGCGCAGGAGCAGCGGAGCCGGAGCAGCAGCTGGCGGAGGCGTGGCAGCGCGCATTGGATGAGGCGGAGGTGGAGATCCGCAAGCAGGCCATCGAGAACGAATTCCTCCGCTCCCAGCTGCGCGTGCTCGAATGGCAGATGAGCAACGGCGTGAGCGCTCGTGTCACAAACCCCCTCCTTCCTCCCCCGGTCCCCCCCGCCCCGCCCCCCAACCCCCTTCCCCCTCTCCCTCCCTTCGTCGTGCTCGCCTCTCGCATCCCCTCCCCCCGCCTCCCGTTACCCTCTCCCTCCACTCCCTTTTTGAAGCAACTCGAGTTGGGTTCTTGCGTCGTTTCAATCCCTGCCCTCCTTTCGTGTGCCACCTTATAGACCCAATTCTGATGCCCTTTTGAGTTTTTTCTTTCTCGACCCATACTCTCCTCGCCTTGCTCTCTCACCACTCCCCCAGGCGCTAGCAAGTTCCGCGCCTCCTGACGTGGACGGGCTGCTCTCCCCTTCCTCCGCGCGCCTTCCCCCTTCCGCCAGTACAGGCGCGGGGCTCAGTCCAGGTTTATCTGGGGCAGGTGCAACTGTTGCAGGCGTATCAGGGGCGGGCACTTCTAGCGGCCCTCTAGGCGGCTATAGCGGCGTTTTAGGCGGAAGTCCGCAGATAGTGGGGCTAGGCGGAGCAGCAGCCGTGGGTACTGGTGGTGCTGCTCCTGCTGTAGTGGGTATAGGTGGGGCTGAAGGGGCAGTAGGGGTAGGGAGAGGCGGAGGGATTATGGCTGCTGTAGCAGCAGCTGTAGCACCAGGAATGACTGGTGGTAACGGTGGTGGGATGGGGGGGCTGCTAGGATCCGATCAGGTGGTTACTGGGGAAGGTGGTATTGGGAATTTTGGCGGGATGGTAGGGGACGGAGCAGGGGGAGGAGGAGGCGGAGGAATGGGAGGAGGAGGTGGAGGCGGAGGAGGAGGGGGAGGCGGAGAGGACTTAGAGGCAGCTCTGTTGGAGCGACTGCTGCAGAAGTTGTCTGTGAACGGTTCGCTGGCTGCTGCTGTGGCGCAGGCAGCAGGGGGAGGCGGAGCTGGCGGAGGCGCAGGTGGAGGAGGGGGGGTTGACGCAGGGGGAGGCGGAGGGGGAGAAGGAGGGGGACTGGGGGCAGGAGGGGAGGGTGGTGGAGCAAATGGGTTGATGAACGGAGGGGTGGGGGGCGGGCTGACGGGGCATGTCCTGGATGGGGAGCGTGACAGCCTGGCGTTGACTCCGTTTGACCGGCAGTCGCTGACTGTGCACCCCTCCAACTCCACGTCATCACGCCAGCTGGCTTCTCTGCAGGTGACATAGGAAAGAAGAGAGTGGATATATAGAAGGGAGCGGTAGAGAGAGCCTACTCATTCTTAATTCTTGTCTTTGGCATTCCTCCCCTCCCCGCCTGCCCCAATCCTGTCCCCACCCCCCTCTTCTCCCCTCCTTCCCGAATTCTCTGTTTTCCACTCTCTTATCTAGTTCAGTCCACAAAAAGCCAACCCTTTCTTCTTATAAAGGGTTGGCTTCTCCAAAAACTCCAAACCACTACCTCCGTTTTTCTTTTCTGGAACTCCAAACCTAGTGAAGCGGCTTTCCTACTTTTGGGCAACTGTATCTCAGAGTAAATCTCCAATACATTTCTTTCTCTTCTCTTCCCTCCGCTCCGCTCTCACCAGCCCTTCACAAACGACTTGACTCGGTCGACAGGTGGGGCGGCAGCGTCCGGCCCTAGTGGATCGGCGGGCGGCGGAGACAGGTCCGTGAACGTGGGCGAGCTGATGCAGCGCGTGGCCTCGTTGGAGGAGCAGGTTCGCAGCAAAGACAAGCTGCTGGCTGCTGCTCAGGCGCGGGTGAGTTGAGTGCTTGTCTTGCAAAGAATCAAAGATGGATACTTGCAGTGCCAGACAGAAGGGTCTGTGTGTGACTGTGACTGGGAGTGTGAACGTGGGAGAGCTGCTGACGCAGCAAGTGGCATCGTTGGAGGATCAGGTTCGCAGCAAGGACAAGCTGCTGGCTGCTGCCCAGGCGCGGGTGAGTTGCCTGCTTGTTTTCTGATGTGTGTGCGTGATCTGTATGTCTCTGTGACTGTCACTGTGATTGTGAGTGTGAATGTGGGCGAGCTGATGCAGCGGGTGGCATTATTGGAGGAGCAGGTTCGCAGCAAGGACAAGCTGCTGGCTGCTTCCCAGGCGCGGGTGAGTTGCCTGCTTGTTTTCTGATGTGTGTGCGTGATCTGTATGTCTCTGTGACTGTCACTGTGATTGTGAGTGTGAATGTGGGCGAGCTGATGCAGCGGGTGGCATCATTGGAGGAGCAGGTTCGCAGCAAGGACAAGCTGCTGGCTGCTTCCCAGGCGCGGGTGAGTTGACTCAAGAGGGCATGCAGGCATGTTAACATGCCAATGTCAGCACCATAGGTGGGGTGGGGTGGGATGGGATGGGTTGTGGTGCGGTGGACAGCTCCATGCAGGGGTGTTTGTGTGTGACTGTGGGCGTGAGCAGAGATGCATGCTGAGAACCACTTTTCGAGACGTTACTACAACGATCAACGCACCTCACCCCTCCCTCCTCCCACCTGCTTCGTAATCTTCCCCCACACCGCCCCAACCCCTTCCTGCTACATCATTTCTGTGTCGTATTGCTCGTGCTTTTTTTAGGTGCCTCAATGAATGCTGATGCTACATCAGTCATTCCTGTATCACATTGCTGATGCGAGGAAACTTTTGAGTCGACTCAAAACAAAAGTATTTTCAATTATTGTCGATGCTACCTCATTCCTGTATCACATTGCTGATGCGAGCAGGAGGCACAGCTGCAGGCGGAGAAGCGGTCGCTGGAGCGCCGGATGTCAGAGCTGCGGCTGGTGAGAACCCTCACCGCACCGCACCCCACCTCACCTCACCTCACCGCACCGCACCGCACCTCACCGCACTTAACCACAATTTTCTCATTCCCTCTTCCATCCACTGCTTCTAGCCTGGAGCCCTATCAAACTTCATCCCCTTCTCGCCCCACTCATGCTCAAATCCCCCCTATGCCCTTTTGCTGTGGTGCTCAAATCATATGCTTCAATATCTAGGCGCCTCAAGGATGTTCTAATTGCTTGTTTTGTGTGCTATTCACATCCCATCACATTCACATCACGTTCATTCACATCACATCACATCACATCACATCACATCACATCACATCACATCACATCACATCACATCACATCACGCTCACATCACATCACATCACGTCACGTCACGTCACGTCACGTCACGTCACGTCACGTCACGTCACGTCACGTCACGTCACGTCACGTCACATCACATCACATCACATCTCATCACATACCACATCACAGGCATTCGACGGGCAGCAGCAGAACTTGATGGGGTCGGCCCAGAAGGCCATGGGGTACCGCCGGGACGTGCTGGAGGAGAACGTGCGCCTCACGCGCGCGCTTGAGGTGCGTGCTGTGGGGATTGTGTGTGCTGTGGGCATTGGGTGTGCTGTGGGCATTGGGTGTGCTGTGGGCATTGGGTGTGCTGTGGGCATTGGGTGTGCTGTGGGCATTGGGTGTGCTGTGGGCATTGGGTGTGCTGTGTGTTCTGTACTGGCGTGGCAATGGCATGGCCAATTAGGAGTGTGCTGTGGTGGGTAGGTAGAGTCTCATCGGCCATGGGGTACCGCCGGGACGTGCTGGAGGAGAATGTGTGTGTTGGGTCCGCCGGGCCTCACTCGCGCGCTGGAGGTGCGTGCTGGGTCCTCTTCTTTCCCCTCGCTCCTCTCTCCCGTACCCTCCACCACTCCAGCGAGCAGAGCGTGACCTCATGCTGTTCCTCACCACGCTCACTCCATGCTCCCCCATGCCCCGAGCTCATCAGCTCATCCAGACGGCCACCCTTCCCTATCCCCTCTCTCCCTCTCTCCTCTCCCTCCCAGCGAGCGGAGCATGACCGCATGCTATTCATAACCACGCTCACGCCACTGGCAGGGGAGTTTGGCCTCTCCGCCACCGCCTCTGCCGACTCGCACCACATGCTGCTCTCTGTCAAGGTGGGCTTTAAGTGAAGTTGGGAGGGGTCATTCAAGAGAGGGCCTGTCGAGGTGGGTTCTTGAGGTTGGCCTCTCCGCCACCGCTGCTGCTGACTTGCACCATATGATGCTCTCCGTCAAGGTGGGCTGTGATCCAAGGTGGGCATCAAGGCAAGGTGGGGTCATAGTAACGCGCAAGTAAAGTTCAGAGGGGACTTCCAAAAGGTGGGGCCTGTCGAGGTGGGTGGGTTAGTAAGTTTGGCCTTTTTCTGCCACACTGCTCCGTAAGTTTGACCGTGAGCTTTCACGGTCTCTGCTGACTCGCACCACATGTTGCTCTCCGTCAAGGTGGGCCTTCCTTAAGGAAAGGTGGGTGGCTCTCGTGGCATAGTGTCAAGGTGGGTCCTGTCAGAAAGCCGTACTTTGTCAGCTTCTCTCTGAGTTTGTGCTGTAAACGCGTTCTGGGAATTCTCAGAATGGCTGTTACCCCGCGGAAAAGGGACGCATGCCTCCTCGCTGCCCCTCAAGCTCAATCAAAACTTACTCTCTCACTCGCTCACTCTCTCACTCACTCATCACCCACTCTGCCTTTCTCCCCTTTCTCCCTCCCTCCTTCCCCTGCGCGTGTCTGCTGCACTCCCTTGGCATTCTCGGTGGTTCCTCTCTTCTGTTCCATTCCAGTCTGTGCTGCAGCAGCTGCTCACCCGAACCACTCGCAGCAACGAGGTACGCATCTTTCTGTCGCCCCCTCTCCACACATGGCCTGAGCTCTGCTCTGTTCAATCTGGTTCGGTGCTGTTCCGTCCAGTTCAGTTCGGTTGAACTTCAGTCCAAACCTCATCTACGGGTTCCTGGGTAAGGTCGGATCAATATCCCCCGCCCAATAGATTTCCACCGTATCATCCTCATTTCAATCCCGCTCCCCTCAGCCATCCACGCTTCGCTCTTTTCTCCTCCTTTCATCCCCTCTTTCGCACATTATTCCCCTTTCCTCAACCCCCCCCCCCCCCCCCCCCCCCTCCTCTTGGTTTTGGACATGACCAATCCCAACCCCTTTCCTTTGCTCCCGCCTGTTGCTCTTTCTAATTCGCCTGCTCCATGTCAGCCCCGCTCCATGTCAGCCCCGCTCCCCACTCTCTAAGGCACCAGGGTGGCAACACGTGGGAACCCACCCTCTTGGACCTCTGCTCCCATGCTAGGGTGCTTTTGAGAATTCTCAAAAACACCCTGCGGAACCCCACCCTCTCTCTCAGCTCTGCTCCCACGTGTTGCCCCTGTTTCGCTGCATTCACCATATCACCACCAACCCTTCCACGCCCCTCCCCCACCTTGCAGCAGGGCGGGCCGTCACCCCCGCTCCCCACGCTCTACGGCACCACAGACCCCACGTTCTCTGCTCTGCCGTCATGTGTTGCCCCTGTTTCTGCCCATTCACCGTTTTCAACCCCAACCCTTCCACGCCCCTCCCTCCCCTTGCAGAAGGGCGGGCAGTCAGCCCCTCTCCCCACGCTCGTCGGCACCACACAGATCCCACGCTCTCTGCTCTGTGTTGCCCTTGTTGTTTTCATTCACTCTTCTTCACCGTCTCCCTTCCAACCTTTCCCCCCCGCTTGCAGCAGGGCGGGCAGTCAGCCCCTCTCCCCACGCTCTATGGCACCACAGACCCCACGCTCTCTGCTCTGCTGCTCGCCAGTGGCGCCAAACCCAACAGCCCCTCCCTCGCACCAAACCCCCTCTCTTCCGCTGCTGCGCTCTCTGCTGCTGCCTCGCCTCTCCGAGCCTTGGCTGGGCTGGTGCCCCCTGCTGCTGCACCTGCTGGTGGTGATCCTCTGCTGCTGCGGTGAGTGTGCCATTGTAACGAGGTGGCTTTTGAGTCGACTCAAAAGTCCTCTCCGAGCCTTGGCTGGGCTGGTGCCTCCTGCTGCATCTGCAACTGCTGCTGCTGATCCTCTGCTGCTGCGGTGAGTGCCCTCGAATCTCTCATGCTCATGCTGTGCGTAACAAGTCCTTTGCTGTGGATCTCTCTGCTGCCGCCTTGCCTCTCTGTGCCTGGGCTGGGCTGGAGTGTCCCCTGCTGCTGCACCTGCTGCTGCTGCACCTGCATCTGCTACTGCTGATCCTCCGTTGCGCTTTTCCGTCTTCTCTGACAATGAAGCCGCCTTCTTATCTCTGCAGCTGCGCCTCCGTTGCTGCTGTTGCGGCTTCTCTGACAATGAAGCCGCCTTCTTATCTCTGCAGCTGCGCCTCCGTTGCTGCTGTTGCGGCTTCTCTGACAATGAAGCCGCCTTCTTATCTCTGCAGCATGCATTGTCTAGCTTCCTCTCCTATACCCCCCCCCCCCCTCCCCCCCCCCACCCCGTCTTTCTTCTCTCCGCGCTTTTCTCTCCTCTCTTCACTCTCCTCACCTTTCCCTGCCCTCCGCCCCATGCCCCCCCATGCCCACCTCTGCCCAGTCTTGCACTTGCGCAAGCAGGTTACGACCCTGCCTACCTTTCAGCCACAACAGCAGCAGCAGGAGCCGCACATCCTTTACACTCTGCTCTACACCCACCGGCCACAGCTCTCCCCCCCATCTTCGCCTCTCCCACAGCCTATCCGTCCTTGCAGCTTCCGCAGCAGCTTTTGCTGGGCTCTGTGCCTCAGCAGCAGCAGCAGCTGCTGCTGCAGCAGCTTTTGCAGCAACAGCAGCAGCAGCCGTTGCAGCAGCCGGTGCAGCAGCAGCAGCTGCAGCTGCTGCAGCAACTCATGCAGCAACAACAGCAGTCATTGCAGCAACCAGTGCAGCAGCAGCAGCTGCAGCTGCCTCTTCAGCAGCAATTGCTGCAGGCACCACAGCAGCAGCAGTGGCAGCAACAGCCACCAATGCAGCAACAGCAACAAGTGCCACCACAACAGCAATGGCAGCAGCAACCCCCACAGCAGCAGCAGCAGCAGCAGCAGCAGCAGCATTACATGGGTCAACAGCAGCAGGTGCCACAGCAACAGTACCAGCAGCAGCAGCAGTACCAGCACCAACACCAGCAGCCACCTCAGCAGCAATATCATCAGCAGCAACAGCAGCCGCAGCAACAGTATCAGCAGCAGCCACAGCAGCAGCAGGTGGGTGGGTACGGTGGCTCCATGGAGCCTGAAATGTCACTCAAGGGCGGGTTCATCCCTGCTGCTGCTGCTTCCTCTGCTGCTCCCGCCCCTCCTGCTGCTCCCTCTGCTTCTGATTCTCCCATCCCTCCCGGCGCTTCCACCAATCCTGGTGCTTCTGGCGTCTTTGCTGCTGACTCGACTATGGGAGCTTCAATGGGAAGTGGAGCAGGAGTGGGGGTAATGCAGCAGCAGCAAGGGGGGATGGAGGGGGTGGGGAGTGTGGGCATGGGGCAAGGGCAGGCGATGGGGTATGTGGGGGGAGAGGGGGCTGTGGGAAGCATAGGGGGACCTGGGGCGAGCATGGGCGGAGCGGGTGACCCTGCCGCTAGCTGGGGCGGTGGATTGGCTCCGATCCGTGAGGATGACGGTGAGTGAGAGTGGAGATAAGGGTATGCGGGTGACGGTGAGTGAGTGTTGGAGGCATGGGGATGAGAGGGTGAGTGAGCGTTAAGACAATGTCCCTGTCTGCCTATTTCTCTGTATCCACTCCACCCTTATGACTCTGCCCCACTCCCCGGTACCCCTCTTCCTTCTTTCCTTCAACAACATTACTCGTTCCAACCTTTTTATTTCGTGCAATCTGTACCAATGCTTTCCAACGATTGCCATCGGTATGGTTGCAGGGCAAGGCTTGGCAAATCAGCAACTGCAGCAGCAGCAAGATTATCAGCAGCAACCGCAGCAGCAGCAGCAGCAGGAATACCAGCAGCAGCAGGAGTATCAGCAACAGCAGGATTTCGCAGGGCAGGGTATGAACGAGGTTGCTGCTGGTGGTGCGGACCCCACTGGCAGCACCATTGATTCTCAGTTTATCCCCAGCATGGATTCCTCACAGCAGCACCACAGCTTTCATATGGAAGGGCAGCAGCAGCAGGTGGTGCAGCAGTATGCACAGGAGGACTATCAGCAGCAGCAGGAATATCAGCAGCAGCAACAGCAGCAGCAGGAATATCAGCAGCAGGAGTACCAGCAGCAGGACTATCAGCAGCAGCAGCAGCAGCAGCAGGAATACCAGGGGCAGGAGTATCAACAGCAGGAATATCAGCAGCAAGAATACCAGCAGCAGGAGGTGGGAGGGGAAGGTGCAGGGCAGCAGGAGGCAGCAGGGGAAGGGCAGGCGGGGGAGGGGGAGGAGGGGCAGGGGGAGGAGGAGGGGGAGGAGCTGCTGCCGGGGATAGAAGGGCTGAGGGTGATAGGGGACGCGGCCATGGGGAACAAGCTCACTGCCTGCGGCCACTCAGTCAATGGCACCAAATTATGCGTCTTCCAGGTAGGTTGTGAGTTGGCTCAAAGATACATTGGACTTGTGTGATAGGAGATGCGGCCAGAGGGGGATAGAAGGGCTGAGGGTGATAGGGGACGCGGCCATGGGGAACAAGCTCACTGCGTGCGGTCACTCAGTCAACGGCACCAAGCTTTGCGTCTTCCAGGTAAGTTCCTCATGTCGAACCACTTCCCCTGCCTGGTGGTGTTCATGTGGCTGCGTGAGTCCTAGGTTCTGACCACGGGGCGACCTTTGAGGCCCTCAGTCTCAGAAGTCGCCTGTCTCAGAAGTCGCCTGCCTCAGAAGTCGCCTGTCTCAGAAGTCGCCTGCCTCAGAAGTCGCCTGCCTCAGAAGTCACCTGCCTCAGAAGTCGCCTGCCTGAGGCCTGACCATGAGGCAGGGGATTTCTGAGGCAGGGGATTTCTGAGGCAAGCCTGATACCTCATGCCTCTCGGGAATTCCACGCGGGGCAACTTGTGAGGACCATGATGAGGCATGACATGACTGCCCAGCTAGCTGTGTTTGAAAGCGTCGTTAACAATCGCAGAAGCCACGGTTTGTAAAGCACCTTTCTGTGGCGCTTCCTGTGTGGCCTGCTCTGCTCTTCTGGTATTTGTTTTTTTTTTGTGCTGCTGCCTTTTCTCCCTGCCTTTTCTGTCCGGTGCTCTGGCCTTATCTCTCTGCTCTGCCCTACCCTGTCTCTTACGTCTGGCTGCTCTTGGCAGTGGGTGCGGCAATACCAAGATGGCACGGCCGAGTTCATCGAAGGTAAGCCTCGCACCACCCAACCCTCGCTCTCTCCGCTCCCGTGCATGAACTGTCCTTGCCATAACCAACCACATGCTTGGAACGTTCCAATTTTGAGGCGCCTCAAGAATATACTTTGAGGCGCCTCAAAAATAGCCTTGCACCACCCAACCCTCGCTCTCTCCCCTCCCGTACATGAACGGTCCTTGCCATAACCAACCACATGCTTGGAACGTTCCACAACTGCTGCAGCAATGAAGAGGGAGGTAACACCAAGATGGCTCTGCTGACAACTGACGACTGCAATGCCATCATCACTACCCTCCTTCCCTCTCATGCACTTTCCCACATCTTCCCCCTCCCCCTCCCCCTCCCCCTCCCCCTCCCCCTCCCCCTCCCCCTCCCCCTCCCCCTCCCCCTCCCCCTCCCCCTCCTTCTCCCCCTCCCCTTTCCCCCACCACAACTGACAACCGCAATGCCATCGTCACTCCCCGCTTTACCTCTCATCCACTCACCCATGTCTTCCTCTTCCCCCTCCTCGTCTCGTCCCTCTCCCCCTCTTCCTCCCAAGGAGCATCATCACCCGAGTATGCCGTGTCAGCAGACGACTGCAACGCCATCATCGCTGCCCTCACTCATACACTTACCCATTTCGTCCCTTTCCCCGTCCCCCTCCCCTCCCCTTCCGCAGGAGCATCATCACCAGAGTATGCCGTGTCAGCGGACGGCTGCAACGATTTTTGAGAATTCTAAAAAATCAGACGACTGCAACGCCATCATCGCTGCCCTCTTTCCGCCATCATCACCACTTACCCATTTCTTCGCCTTCCCCCCACCCCTCCCTTGACAGGAGCATCATCGCCCGAGTATGCCGTGTCAGCGGACGACTGCAACGCCATCATCGCCGTGGAGTGTGTGCCGCTTGACGAGGCAGGCAGACGGGTGAGTTCATGCTCTTGGAGTGTGGGGGAAGAGAGAGGGGGGGGGGGGGGGGTCGGTGGTGCTAGTGGTGCCTGCACGAATGCATGCGGTGACTGCAATGCCATCATCGCCGTGGAGTGTGTGCTGCTGGACGAGGCAGGCCAGTGGGTGAGTGGGTTTGGGAGAGTGAGGGTGAGTGGGTTTGGGAGAGTGAGGGTGAGTGGGTTTGGGAGAGTGAGGGTGAGTGGGTTTGGGAGAGTGAGGGTGAGTGAGTGCATGCGTGTGTTCATGTGTGACCGGTGATGTCAGCTGACGACTGCAACGCCATCATCGCAGTGGAGTGTGTGCCGCTGGACGAGGCAGGCCGGTGGGTGAGTGCGATGAAGGGAGTGGGGAGGGGGAGGGGAGCTATGTTGGAATTGACGCGTCAAGCGTCTTTGACGCTAGCGTCAAAACGCTAGCGTCTGGACGCTTGACGCACAATCCTGATTCATTTTACGCAGTTTTGACGCTCTGGCGGGCAGCCGGAAAAAACTATCGGGCAGCAATAGAAAAGTATAACGGGGGAGGGAGGGGAGTGATAAGGCGAAAGTTAAGGGGTGATAGGAGTGGAACGGCGATCTAACTTCGCAGGTACAGGATAGTCGATCCAACCCTAATTTCTGTCGAGTAGCTTGCAAAGCAGAGAGTGACGACCTGGATTGGCGTGACTGATTTTTGTCCACTTCAGTTGGTTGGTACAATGTGGTGTGGGGGATGGTTTTGTGTTTC